GATTATCCAGGTAAATCTCACCTGTTGCGGAGAAAAGACTGTAAAAATTTTGATGTTTTCCTTTTAAGAAGGTAAACAGAAACTTTGTGATGAAAGTGCTTTGAAATCTCGAAGAAGTACAAACATCTGTATGCTAGTTCAGCTCTGCGATATGCTGCCACGCTGAACTTGTGCGTTGATTGGTTTGCGGGCACAGTTGGGACACCTCAAACTTGGATAATCAAACTTTATTGTGACAATACACAATACACAAGCGGATATAACTATGAAATATACGAGGGTATACAAGTCCAATCTTCTGTGGCACTGTGACATAGTCTGCGGATCTGTGAGCCTGTAAACTGTGGAGTGATAATATGAGAAGCAGACCAACAAAATGAAAAAGAAACCAAAAACAATCGTAACCAGAGAAAATAAAGCAAGTGAAAAGCAACTATGGCGGCTAACATAAATTCTATAATTATATTAGGTTGCTGCATAAGTTCTGTCCGATTTAGATTTTTTAGGTTCAAAATGTCATAAGTTCTTTCAAAGTTGACTTTTTAAGATCTTAATTTCTTTGTGATGAGCAGTTTCTTGGCTATCAGGCACATATTGAGAGTTGCGAAAATCCTTGTTGAGGAAGAAGCAAGAACTCAAAACTTTACAGCGTTTTTCGAAACCTATCTTTTTTGACATGGCAATGCTCCCTTATGAAAATCGATAGGCGTCTTATCTAGAAAGGCATAGATAGAGAAATTTTCATGGATTATTTTGCAGCATGAAAGAACCCATAGGGTCTGCGTTTCCGGGAGATTTTTTTGACCGAGCAAAAAAGAAGCCACTTTTTGACTTCGCTTCAGCGCATATGTGCACGCCTATTTACAAATATAAAGATATTACAATTGACCTGATCCCCGAAAAGAATTGGTGGACGAGCCCTTACTACTAGCCCTTGCTAGCCCCTACTGGCCCTGCTTTACCCTAGCACCTCCAACTTTGAACTCATCGATTACTTCTATTTGCAGAAAGTTATTGCTTATGAAACATCTATCTAAATAATGTTCGACAATAAATTTTACTAGCAAGACTTAGACTACCAGTTATCTTCATGGAAGTGAGCTTCTGCATATACTAGCCTCCTTCACCCTTACTCCGCAACCAATGAAAGAACATGATTCGAAGGGAGCATTGTGGAGATTTTCTCGCAAGAACATAGTCCCAGGGTGAAAACGTACCTCGGCTACTTGGAGATTTTGAGTCTGAAATCCCCTTACGCCAAGAAATTCACCAAAATTTGATATGCGCTAGAAAGAGCAAGAAAAGCGCTTTCTAATGATACTAACAATATTGCATTAGAATGAAATTCTCTTGGAACAGCTGCTTTTAACATAAGGCAAAAAAAAATCGGACAGAACTTATGCAGCAGCCTAATATACGCGATAGAACATCAATTACCAATATGTTTGAGAATCTACCGATAAGCCTACTGATAAGGCTAAGCATGAACATAAGCCTGAGAATCACAGCTGATCGGCTGCCTGAGGCATCTGTTCTTTGTGCGCATTAAATAGGAACGCGAAAAGTTCATATACTCCGGCCTCAGCGTCGAAAAGAGGGACCAGGATCTTCCTTGCTGTGAGTTAATTCCCTGCAATACATCGTTTGCCCTTCCTCAGTCTCTTCCGCTCCTTTCTGCAATCTTCGATCCGTTCCTAGATGTCCGCGTAGCGCGGCGTAAGCAACAGAATTCGCCCCGGAGGGTGCAGATAGCCGCATAGTGGTCGTCTGCCGTCCCTTGTTCGCTGTTCTTACAGTAAAAACAGGAATATTGGTCTGATGCAGCCGTGGATATGCCGTAAGCAACGGCAACACCGTCCTCCGCTATCCAGAAGAGCTAAAAAAAACGAAAACGACTGTAAGCTGTAAACTTTTCAGTTCCTGTGTGTACTCGACGATGAACTTGTTGAATTTCTTTTTAGGATCTGCTCTGATCGCCGCTTCCGGAATCGCTTTCGTCCTGAACACCTCCCTGTTCGTTGGTGTCTTCCTTGCGAGCTTTGTCCCTGTGACTGCGTGGGGGTGTGTTTATGAGCTAGTATACGGGTTGATACATCCCATCAGTGCTGCTTTCTCACTGTGACACCTCTGTGGTCGGCTTTACATTCGCACGTGTGATCTTCTATCGTTTCAACATCTTGGCGCTTCTTCACTCCACGTTCAGATTCTTTGTTGATCTGTGCTGCTAAGCCAAACTGCTGTTCCAGGCACGGCCTCTTGGTGGAGATATCTACGCTGACCACGGATTTCATCCATTTCTCCTTTCCTTGGCCTGAGTGCTTTTTTCCCGCTCCTGTGTTACAATTAATTGTACGTCTGGATCTCGACCCATCCACGAACCTCTTCATGTTGTTGATCCATCCCAAGCCTGAATGGTGCGATGAAATCTTTGACTCTTTGAAAGAACTATCAATTCGTGTTGCTTTGCCATTTTGGTCGGAATCTAATCGTTGGCGTTTCGCTTCCTATCGGAGTTCTGTAATCGATTCTTTGAGTTCTGGATATCCCAGTTCGAAGTTCTTTCTTGAGACCATTCTCGATCGTCGTCCCTTCCTGACTTTACTCCGTTTCGAGCCCTGTGACGTCGTTGTACATCTCCCGAAGCATGTGGCATTCGCTTTCGTTGCCTCTCCTTATCTCTTGCTCGACTTCATAGACTTCCTTTGCTTTATCGTCGAGGAGGGCATTGTAGCCTGTGCGTTTTTTTTTTGTAGGATTGGACGATTAGTCCGATTGAGTCCTTTTTGTATTTTCGGGGACTTGCTGTGATCTGGGTATCCATGGTCCGTAGGTCGTATGGGTACCAAGATCACAGTTCCCTCCAACTCATTCAGGAACATGTCTCGGTCAATCTCCTCAGCTTCGCCCGCTGCAGCTAGAATTTTGTACCATTCATGTGCGAGTGGTAGTTAATCTGCCCAAGAAATCAGCTCTTTCTTTCCCTCTATACGCCAAGTCCGAATTTCTTTGAAACTTAGTGTGTAGCGCAACGATTCCTTCGCGTAAGAGGGTTTCCCACCCCTTTTGCCTAACAGAAATGAGATCTAGCTTCGCCTGTTCTAGCCGATTGTCAAATTCGTTGTATTTCTCAACGCAGAATTTTATTTTTTGCCGAATCTCTGCCTCTGTGTATTTCAATGATGACTCGTCAATAATGAATGTCTTTCTTTCAATTACTCCTTCCCTCTTCTTTCGAGCTCTGCGATTTTGTGGGCCCCAATCTTACATATAAAGCTGAATGTCTGCTTGTCTGCTTGTCTCTCTGTCTGTCTTTACGTAAGTTCCGAATAGAAAACTCCATTTCTGAACCGATCCGGACCAAACTTGGCACACATACGCTTCGGGTCGGGTGTCGTGGCCTACTTTTCCTCATCGATTGATATCGATTTTATCGATGCTTATCGATTTTTGTGCTCCGTATTTCCTCTGAAGAGAACTGTTAATAAATGGATTACCAGAACAATCCAAGGAGGTATAAGGGTCACCTTTGGTATTGCGTTCTTCACAATCGAGGGGAGGGCTACATGCTTGCTGAAACTTGAATCTTTGCAGAATTGCTAATATAGCATATCACCGAAGCGTTATTGCCCAAAATCTATCACTGCTGTGCCCTCCGGCCTCACCATCAAAGTGTGTTTAGATCCCTGTGATATGATTTTCCTTTGCGCTGCTGCAAGTCTATGATTGCATCATTAATTGTTTATCACCGTGTTTCATCTCCGTAGGCGCGAAGCAAGATGCGCGATGAAGTAATCGGCGATGTTTATGTTATATCGCCGTCAAGCCAGCTTCTTTTCTTCGTATTTCTGCTTGCTTCTATATTCTATCATAATTCTGCTGATTATTGCTGTATTTTTTTATACTTTATAATTGATTTTCCCTCGGTCCTGAGGTTAGAGCCGTGATGTCCTTCTGCTACTGAACTGTGGGCGAAGTGCTTTTGCTGCTGGACTGTGGCTGAGTCATCCTCGTTATCGATTTCCAGTGGGACTATTCGATTGCTTGGACGAAGAAATCGTCTTTTATTGGGAGTTTCGCCGAGGACTACTCTTATGATATTAGAGGGTTCATCAATTTGTACTATTCTTGCTGTTATCCGAACATTTCGTGGTTATAGCGTCCCATAGTAGAACGATGTCGCCCATTTTGGTGTCTTTCGTTCCCCGTTTCTCATCCACTCTTTAGCGTTGTTCTCGAAGACCGGTTGAGGTACTGTTCCCTCCAAATCTCCCAGAATCTCCCTGTCAAATCTATTGACGTGTCCGCCTTTGTTTGGCTTTGAGTTGCTAATTGCTGTGCCTGTTCTGCTGAATGATAAATCCTATCGTGTCTTTCCACACGTGTATCTTAGGGGATAGTCTAGGATTATATTGTGCTGAAGAAAACCAATGGGCCGAGGTAGTGGTTGTTCTTCCCACTTCTCTTCTTGGTAATAAAGGCAATCTCCAGAGCAAAGCTGTTGCAGATTCCAAGTTTGCATCATTTCATGATTAACGTGCTTGTCCCTGCTTGTTGTCATCGACCTCCTAGTGATCCAAGTAATGTGCTTTGTACTTTGGACTGTGTGCATTATAATTGTGAATTTACTTGTAAATCATTCAAGTTTCGCTGTATGCTATTAGTACAAGTTAGACTTTGTTCAAACACCGTTCCCACGCTTATGTGATCTAGAAATGCTTCTGCCATTAGCTCGCGACATAGTTAAATGTTATCCGTTTTATCAAGCTTGCCATCGCGCTTAACCTTTTGACACAGTTGTGAGAACGGTAAAAATGCTGCTCTTATCTGACCATGTAGCATATGAAAGTGGGACCAAATGGGTCACAAACATCGTTCGCTACATCGCCTTCAGTTGCAAGTTTCCCTCAAGTTATCCTTCGCCTTAAGTTCCGCCGCATCATCTTGTAAGTGCTGTATATACTTGTACATAACAAATATAACGTCTACATGTCTCCAATACAGAAGAATACTTGCGCGACATCAGTTCGCAAGTTGCTCGCAGCTCAAGTAACTCAAGTACACTCAATCGTATACAAACAAGGTGCAATCGTCCACATGGTGCATCGGCTCATCAAAGAACTCAGGTCAGTCAGAATATACTAGAATACTGACGAATTTTTAGAGACAATGGAATAACCTCTTTGCTCGGAACAGTCTCAGTTGCAAGTTTTGAACTAGGCTTGTAATTTTGGTTGCAAGTATCGAACCACTTACCGGCAGAGAAAACAAAAATGGGGATGCGATTAGGCACATCAGAAAGATTGTTAACGCGCTACTCTAATAAACTAGAAAGCATCATCGCGCACCTTAAAATGGAAAAGTTGGAGACCTTAACGGCCACTCAGGACGAGGACTCGGGTACAGACAACCTGCGACAGCTCAATGAGGGAAGAGGAACAATCGCAGCATCCCGGAGAAAATCGAACAACTCTTAAGGGAATACGCTACAGATGTATCGAGCCTTCAAGGTTTGGAAGAAGAAGAATTGAGTAGCTTTGAGGAGTATTTCGCGAAGGCAGAAGAAGTTCTGGCATCTGCATTCGACACTTGGTACTGCTACAATCACGAAGGCAAGCGTATAACATATGCGCAATCCTTTTAAAGGAAGCAACCAACCTGGCGCCAGAACGGCGGGAAATGCTCCTCAGACTCTTCAACCACCATACAGGATAAGAAGCGAACTTCTAGCTTTACCCATCCCCATATTTGAGGGAACATCTAGGAATGGGACAATTTTTAGAGTTATTCGACGCCAACATTCACTCCCAACCATTGCCAGAACTATACAAGTTCAACTACTTGAAAAATGCGATGCGCGGTGAAGCCTATCAAGCTATCGAGAAATTTCAGGTTACTTCAGAAAATTACATCAAAGCAGTCGAATTCTTGCTCCACAAATATGGAGATAAGCAAGTACTAATCACACGACTACTCGATAGGCTTAGAAGGCATCACTGAATTCGTTCTCACTGAGGGATCAACGCGCTCTTTTTGAAGAGTTGCAAGTCATTGTAGCACAGTTGGCTGGCCCAGAAAGGGGAGCAGGTGGATGGTCAATGTGCATAAGACAAATGCTAGCAAAGTTACCATTAGCTGTTCAGGGAAAAGTACTGCTAAAGAACCTTCGTGAACGAAAACTTTGCCTCTTTGTGTATCAGCACACCACCAAACTTCACAGTGCAAGAAGCGTTTGTGCTTCAAATGCCAGAGGGCTCATCACACATCGTGCTGCTTCAAGGCTCAGAACACGGCGACCCAACAAGGGAAGGTCTGGTCTAACGACAAACACCCGAAAGAAGAAATCTAAAAGAGCAGGACCTCAGTTAACGGTGTGGGTTCAAAAGAACGGAAACAAGAGAAATCGCTATACTTCAAGTCAACTCAGCATTCCATAAGTTGAAAGAAACATTTCTTCCTACGGGTGAGTTAACAATCCTGGACCCAAAAAGCAACGCCTTGGGAAAAATAGCGGTACTGTTGGACACAGGAGCCGAAATCTCATTTATAGACAGAGCACTCGTTAAGGAACTGCAACTCTCAGTGATAGGAAAAACCAGGTTGCATCTGCACACTTTTTGCAACGAAGTATCTGTGAAGGACTGCCGGCAAGTAAAACTGAACGTTTGGGATGATAAGGGACAGCAATGCTCATTAAGCCTTCTCACGCATGATATTCTGACGAAGGTGTTCACAATACCAGAACTTCAAGATGAGGACATCCAGTTTATCAAACAACGAGGCCTAGTTGTTAATCATTCCAAACAGTCGGTAAAGCCAGAAATTCTTCTGGGTGCTGACCAGCTTTGGCCATTTATACGGGCTAACACAAGCCACATTCCCTTCCTTCTGGATTGTTCCTGCTGTCAACACGGTTGGGATTTCTGCTCACAGGGCAGCCAAAAGGTCGATCAAGATAGAGACAAAAACAGAGCAAGAAGAGGACAGGTGGAATGGATACTGGAGCTTAAAAGCCCAGGTAAACACGGTCGAGACAATGATAGAAGAGAGAAAAGAAAATGAACAAGACCTTTAGGAACAATTTTGGAAACTGGATGCAGCCGGAACAGAAGAACTCGGAAAGGCGAAAAAATAACAAGCAATAGTTGATCAGCAAGTGTGGAAAGACTTTAAAAGAACCGTAGAAAAGACGGTTCCTATGTGCTGCCATGGAAAGACTTCCAGGTAGACCTACCAGATAACAAGGCAATCGCATATAGGAGACCGACAAGTTTGTGGAACTCACTGCAGAAAGATGAAAAACTATAGACTAGTACAACGAAATTTTCCAAGAACAGCTTTGTTTCAATATACTGGAGAGAGTTAGGGAATCACAGCCAGGGGCTTGAATCCACTACATTCCACATCAGGCTGTGATAAAGCTTCACACGTCAACGACCAAACCACGTGTCGTTTACGACGCCTCAGCTCGCTACAAAGGGTCCCCCTCATCAAATGATGTTCTTCATCGAGGACCAAGGATCTTACCGCTTCTCTACGGAATTCTGTTGCGATTTCGAGTTGGACATATTGCAGTGATATCTGACATGGAAAAGGCATTTCTGCGAGTGCGACTTCACGAAGAAGATCGCGATGCCACAAGGTGTCTCTGGTTGAAAAACCACAGGCAAGCACCCAGTCCAAATAACGTCCAAACTCTTCGATTCAATCGAGTAACCGTAAGGCTTATGCCTTCTCCATTCCTTCTAGCAGCAACAACACACTATCACCTAGATCAGTATAAAGATAGATACCAACTTGGTGAAGGAATTAAAAAATTTATATGTAAACCTTATTTTATGTACAGACCATGCAAGGAGGCGATCCAGTTATACCGCACCACTAAAGGAATGTTTCAAGATTTGAAAATGAATCTACGGGAGTTTGTCTCCAACGATAAGGAAACAATGCAAACAATAGCTTGCAAGGACAGGTCTCTAGAACTAGCACCAAAATTGTTAGGGATAAAATGGGATTTAGTAAAAGATGCATTCGCAATTACCTGCCGAATGGAAAAAGGCACCAACATTAAGAAACGTACTGTGGCAAGCACCATAGCTTCCGTCTACGATCTAATGGGTTATCTGACACCACTGCTTCACAAAGCAAAAGTCTTTCTTCGCTCTTTGTGGCAACAGAGTTTTGACTGGGATACCAGCCTACCCAAAAATTGATGACGAATGATAGCAAATTATCCAAGTAGATGAGTTTGAGAAATTCTCTGTGCTTATGTGCAAAAGAGACCGAACAGGAACTGATCGCGTTTGCGAACGCAAGTTCAGAGGCAATCTGACATGCATTTATCTGCGCTTAAACGGACAAGTTTGCTCGTTGCAAAAGGCAAGCTACCAACTCTCAAGTCCACAATCACAATGCCAAAGATGGAACTCAATGCAGTTACACTTGCCATGAGAGTTGCAAACTCAACAGTTAGCAACTACAATCTGTCGTCAAGTTAACACATTTGATTGTGCTTTCAGACTCAGAGGTCCCCTCCAGTGGACAAGATCGAAACCACAAAAGGGAGCAGGAAAGATGATAACAAGCAGACTTACGGAGATCAACAGAATCGTGAACAACATAGAGGAATCGAGATGTCAAATATGGTTTGCTCACGTAACCTCATCAGAAAATCCGGCAGACTGTGCCACTCGAGGCTTATCCACGGAATTGCTCAACCACTTTTGCTGGACTGGACCCTCATTCCTGCGGGAGAATCCAAAAGATTGGAAATGCATAAGACTCTTCCAGCAAGAAACATCTGGTGAAGAAGAGGACGGATTAATGTTTGCAACAAGTTTAAAGTGTATACAGCACACTACTCCAGATCCACTTGGCCGGTTGAAGAAGTATCCGCTAATAACGATCAAACTCATTGAAGCATATGTATTGCGATCAGAGGTGCGATGGGGGGAGCCGGGGCCCACCGAAAGTGAAGGTGGTCCCAGCTACCACTGGCCGAAAGTGAAGTTGGTAGTGTCGGACACTCACCTCCCGAAAACATCGACGGGGGGGGGGGGGGGGGGGAGGTGCGGGGGGGGGGGGGGTAGAACGGTCGAACAGAGCTATCTTTCTAGGTCGAACTATGACCCAGCGGCTTTCTTTAGGGCCACAGATACGATGTATATTAAAAATATTTATAAATTTTATTTATAAAAATTTAAAAAAACGTGTTTAGTAAATGGTGTATTTGGAAGTAAAAGTTTGTTGGACTGTACGGATTTTATTGATTAAATTTTGTCATAACATACTGCGAAGGAAGTAGGTCGATCTAGGCAGTAACGGCCGAGAACCAGAATTTTGAATATTTAAATAGTGAAAAATCATTCAAAGTTTCCACTGTTATAAATCTGTTGTTTGAAGATGTCAGCAGTTGCGACTTCATAGGTTTTAAAGAGTAAATGGTGCTCTTTTAGCTAGTGAAAGAATCGAGTGGATTTGAGAGACAGTCGTTGGAAACCAGAATTTTAAAAATTTACGCCATTTTCGCGTGTTTTTTGACAGTTGACAGTTAAACTCATATAAATCTTAAATGTGAAAGTGTGTGATGTTGCGACTTCATAGGTTTTATAGAGTAAGGTTTGCCTTATCAGAATATGTCTTGTCCGTTCCGATCCATTGAAACACCTCCGAGATCCAGGCTCTTGAAAAAGCAGGTAAAAAACAGCTTTTTGAACTTCAACAGCTCGTAACTTCTCCAGAACTGCATGAATCATGTTGCGACTTCATAGGTTAGATTCTTCTCATCAAGAGCTTTCAGATGATATGTAATATATGAGGGTTTAGATCCTCCTACGGGTTATGCCCGTGGGGGGAGCCTTTTCATCACAAAGTCTCCCCCTCCAATACATTAAAGTGGGCTAGGGGGAGACTTTGGTATGAAAAGGCTCCCCCCACGGGCATAATTTGTAGGAGGCTCTAAACCCCCACATATTACATGTCATCTGAAAGCTCTTGATGAGAAGAATCTAACCTATGAAGTCGCAACATGATTAATGCAGTTCTGAAGAAGTTATGAGCTGTTGAATTTTGAAAAGCGCTTTTTTACCTGCTTCTTCAAGACTCTGGATCTCGGAGGTGTTTCAGTGGATCGGAACGGCTAAGATATATCCTGATAAGGCAAACCTTACTCTATAAAACCTATGAAGTCGCAACATCACACACTTTCACATTCAAGATTTATATGAGTTTAACTGTCACCTGTCAAAAAACACGCGAAAATGGCGTAAATTTTTAGAATTCCGGTTTTCAACGACTGTCTCTCAAATCCACTCGATTCTTTAAATAGCTGAAAAAGCACCATTTACTCTTTAAAACCTATGAAGTAGCAACTGCTGACATCTTCAAACAACAGATTTATAACAGTGGAAACTTTGCATGATTTTTCACTATTTAAATATTCAAAATTCTGGTTATCGGCCGTTACTGCCTAGATCGACCTACTTCCTTCGCAGTATGTTATGACAAAATTTAATCAATAAAATCCGTACAGTCCAACAAACTTTTACTTCCAAATACACCATTTACCATTCACGCAAGAAATGAAGCGATCAATGCATCGTTTGAATATCAGAAGAGGCGAAAAAGGCCTTTTCCGCTGCTACGGAAGATTGGGTAGAAGCAAGACGAATCAGCAAAACAACATCTGATCATCCTTCAAAACACATAGCTAGCCAAAACCATCATGCGGAAAAACCATAACAAGGGCCAGGCAAGTATCAACCATACAATGTCTCTCGTAAGACAAAACTATTGGATACCAAAATTACGTTGCTCAAGTAACTCGACTCATTCGTCGATGTGTTCCTTGCCAGAAATTCAATAACTTGCCATTCAAGTATCCGGAGCAAAGTGACCTTCCGAAAGAGCGAGTACAACGAGCAAGGCCTTTCGAACATGTCGGACTGGACTACTTCGGGCCACTCAATGTTGCTCTTTCAGACGGAAGCAAGGGCACATGTATGGTGACTAGCTTATTCATTTGGATATAGTTGAACAATGCGCCGACTTTCCTTCTTGGAGAAACTATACCCAGGGAAAATTATGAAGCGGCCAAAAATGATCCAAGCGTACTGAGAGAACTGAACGATAGAGAGATCGTTTGGAAACATATCACCCCGCATGCTCCATGACAAGGAGACTTTTACAAACGGTTGATGAAGTCAGTAAAGCTCTCTTTGCACAAAACGCTCGGAAATCAGACACTGGAATCAAGGAACTGATAACGGTAGTTGTGGAGATAAGAAGCCTTACCCAACACAAGACCATTCTTGTACATGGAATCGGACAGACTAAATGAAGTCGCCGTACGACCGATAGACTTCCTACAAAACAAAATAGATGAAATATCCGATGGATCTTTTTAAAGAAGAAGAAGATCCAAGTTATGTATCAAGTGAAGAGCTTGTTTTGCTACGAACAAGAGGCAAACAGTAGAAGCCCTACAATCTTCCTGCAAAGCTGCAGGAAAATTTTGGCAAGGATGGCAGACTCATTACCTGAAATCATTGCGAGAAAAACATCAAAGAGAAGTAGGGAAGAAAAAAGGGTCCGTGTACAAACCCAAAAATGGTGACGTAGTAATGATTTCCGATCCAATCCCAACCTAGGCAGACGTGGAAGCTTGGACGAATCACTAAACCAGTCACTAATTCTAGCGGAATCGCCAGAGAAGCAGTGGTATGCTGCCTTCACACCATAAAATCCGCAGACCGATAAATCTGTTGATACCTCTAGAGTTAGAAGAATATGATAATATAGAGGTACCACGTACGGACGCAGTAGAAAGCACAGCGACTGCAGAGGAGATGCACAACAAACCCTAAATCTTCATCCCAATCGCAAGAAAAACTACAACGAATGTAGTTGCATACATCAGTATTACTTATTATTGTGATGATTGGACTACTACTTACACCACAAGGGATCAAAGGCAACAAAGCAACTGCTAGGGATCTAAAAAATTCCAGACGTATGAAATGTCGATCTGGAGGAATAGAACTGATCTCAGAAATTCAGGTACCCTATCAAGTGTATGTTGAGGATTTCTGCAAGACCCTGGAACGACCAGAATACAATGAAACAATAAGATTTCCACCCGAGATAGTACTATACGAACATAAGGTACAGCGGAAACTCAGTGTCAACAGCGTAATAGAAATCCTGGAAACAACATGTCCCTCCGCGCCATTTTATGAATCAATAGATTGCTTCTTCTGTGCGTCACTCATCTTTAATCCCGAATGTTGGCCTGTAGGAGCGATGTGGCTCTTGCGTTAGCGACATACCTACTCATCACAGGATGTATGCCTTATTATACATTCCTCTTGCAGTAGGAAAGCCGATTCGAGTTTTATTCTATGGCATCTGCATGATGCTATGCTACCTACTCAAGTGCTGCAGGAAAAATCGCCAAGAAAGAAGTAATCGAAGACGGTCCTTTTAGCACATCTATTGATACTCTTGATGATTATTCAAACAAGTCAGACAGTCAGAGGATGTCAAACAGTGGATATAATCAGCCATTCATCCACTTTATGCAGAAACCGTGACGGAGGTCAAGTTTGCAAAGTCCAGCTGTCCGAAATTTTCAAACTGAACCCAATCAAGAGAGAAGCCTGCTTCAGACTGATGAAAAATCAGACGACCATCCATCAAATCCGCGCATCCTGGAGGAATGTACGTCTAACTTGCGAGAAGGTTACAGATTACTTTACTCGAGACACGAAATATCGTAGATAGCAAAGGGAGTCCTCATGTGGGATCCTGTATCGAAAGCAAGTGTGCTCAGATAAACAGCACAAGTATCATACCCGAGCTCAAAACAGATAATGAGCCCCCCATCTAATTTCTGAAGGATCACTTCTGCTATACCCTGTCGGTGTGTTGTTTGTAGCAACTCTTGCTAAAAGCGGTGCGACTCATATGTATATCGGCTCTCTTGGAGGTTCATTTTTTGGATTGTGCTACAATGTACCAAAGGCTTCAAAAACAAAATGCATACAAAGAGGAGATTCTGACGTCTCTGAGTTAACAATAGAGTCAGATCCTGATAGGATATTAGATATGCTTCAAGTTAGGCTAAACTTTATACTTCATATATTTGCAGGCTCACTGCGGCCGAACTCGAGGGAGAAACCACGTTCCTCGCGACTTGGGACATGGTCAATCATCCACACTGCTATTCACTTGGTGGGTTTCCAAATTGGAGGCTCCAAAAGCATTTAGTGTCACTTGTAAATTACTGCCACTTCCAACGACTTTTCAGAAGATTGCTGCTAAGGTAGAAATATTCTATTGAGCACAAAAACAATGTTGTCAGAATTTTTCTGAAGGTGATTCTCATGGGACTAAACAACAGTGTTTAACACATTGACGACCAAGGCATTTCACGGACTAGTCAACATCTATATAAAATCACGCACAATTCCATCCACAGTACATCAACAGTAATGCTGGAATGCTGGCAAAAACAGTAGAGGTTGTTCTAGGTCCAGCATAAAAGAAAACATCACCATGTGTGTCAAGCGGTCGTCAATGTGTTAAAGAACCTGCGAAACTCTACAAACCATTCGAACACTATTTCACAGGAATGAATTTTATTAGTGGTGATACGCTTTTTGTTAGGTCCGCTGCGTTTGCTTCCTAGGAAGGTTTAGAAAACCGGCGTAGTACGCTACTCTTCGTCACCAGAAAAGACATTATACCACAGAAACCCTCTCATACTGCCGGATGAAACGGAACGCAGGAACGAAAAGCTAGGAAGCGCGATTTCTTGCCAAATACTGAAACTTCTACTAACTGAACTTCTTCTACTTCTACTAAAAACAAAAACTCTCAGTAGCTTTGGTGAGATTTTCTTCTATCTTTAGCACTAATCAGGGGCCGTCGACCCAAACTTGCTTAGCGTACTCCCGACACAAAGAACAAATCGAATGGTAACTGGCACAATTCAAAAACAATGTGATGTTGAAAAATACAGCAATAAAGTTTTATTCTCTCTATATCAAGTACAAACCTATCAAATTACGCTGACAACATATATTATGAACGGTTAAATCAGTGAAGATCAGAACAGCGGACATTTACAAACGGGGGACGGTGAAGCGCTGGTGTACAGAACACAACACCTATTGCCTCTTGAAAATAGGGGTTTTACAATACAAATCAGAGCTGAGAGCGTGAAATCACAGCACCATTCAAGAGTACTTGGGGGTTGAGCGCGAAGCATAAGGCCTTGCAGAAATAATATTTAGGCTGCAAAAAATATTATTACTCAGTACTTAGCACTCTTATTATACCGACATATTGAGATTTGTAATCTACAGAGATAACCAAAAATATATTCGAAAGTAGTAGTGGCCAGCAGTAAAGCATAAAAAGAAGGCGTAAAACTCAAGCAGTGTGAGAAAATAAGGCAGAGAGACAGTATGACTTAACAAGCGGTAATCAATCGATAACCGATCAGCATATCCAACAAAATTATTACAGGGCCAGTAAAATAATTATGCAGGAGTACCGGAAGACTAGAAACCTAATGCAAAGGCAGTGGTATTGGTGGCGCAGAGTTATTGGAGAGTCAATATACAAGCAGAAGAATTTTGAATAGTCACAAAAAGCAGTAAAATGCAAAAGGTTAGAAAATAGCACTATTGACCCGCATACAGTGAACAAGTAGATAAAACGTAACCTAAGGGGCAAGAAATGAGGGTAGGAGGTTTTTATGGGGGAGGCTAATAGTTAGAAGTGCGTAATCATGACGGAGAGAAATTGCTTTTCACTCGAATCGGCAGTTTTCTGAGGTTGAACGTCCATCTGTTGCCAATCACCGCCTTCGCCGGCTTTCAATGAGAAGGACCATTGCCCATCGGCATCTACAGGTCCACAATGAGGTAGTCGAAGTTCGCAAGGGGTGAGGAACGTTAAACCTGAAGATCAACAAAAGTAATGGTGGAAAAGTACACAAAGTACTGAAACCGCACCCTGAGGGCCGCACATGACCAATGGAGACAACAGAGTTTCTCCCTTTGACTTGTCTATAGGAGGTGAATCGCCGTCTCGGCACACCTGAGACAAAGGCATTTGGACAGATGCCAACTAATCGGGAAAAACTGTGGAGAAAAACAGGAATGGGGAAATTACGTTAGAGAAGACAGTGCGATGTTAATTTTAAAATTCTTTATATGGAGCAAAATTACATTTTAGAATTACCCAGAACCGACTGTGACCGTCTGTAAGCTTTAAAAATCAAACAACATATGCAGAAACCCAGGAAAATATCGATGTGAATCTGGATACCTTAGATGATAAGATAAGGAGTTGAATCAAAAAGCATGTCAGTCAAAAAAAGAAAAAAGAAAAGTGAACAGAGATCTACCTTCACATAAATTTCATGCTTTTCACCAGCCGGGATTGCTCCCTTTGGTATCCGTAGCTCGACACCAGATACAGGACAATTCAACACACCACCTTCACTACCGATCATTGCATTGGTTTCTTCTACTATTGTTGGTTCCTAAAAGCAAATAACATAAATTAATACAGAATAGACAAACAAGCCTCAAATAAAATCTACCTCGGCATTTGCCGCATTAGTTCCAGACTCCTGACCATCATGACTTGTTCCGTCTTCCTTCCGTGGGCTAAATCCGTTTCTGTCCAGAGCTGGCTGTTGACCATTTCCATTACTGCTAGTAGACGAACTTCCATTACTGAGCCTAAAACTTGGACTCTGTGCTATGGAACAATGTAACTAATCTATGGAACACTTCCAACTATTGCAAGAAAATTCAGCGAGTAGGCAAAATTCTTTACCCATTCGAGCCACTCGGTCGTTGGAGGTCGCGCGAACGAGGAGGAGGTACTACGGCCGAGCTATTCGAAAGCATACTTGGCGAATCTATGTTGCGTGATATTGGTTCTGGTGTAGCGCTGTCCCAACGATTTCTAAAAAAACAATAGGAATACCAGGATTATGTCAAAACAAACATTAGATTGGATAGGCATAACAAACCCCCACAATGGTCGGTCGCCTCATCGTGGCGTGGGGGTGACACTGGGTGTCGAACTGCGATGCACAGCCGAGTGTATACTCTGGTAGGGCCTCCCAAGCTGTGAAGGAGTTCGACGTTTCCGGTTTCGGCCGGATGCCTAGCTAAGAACTGGCCGCGCCAGATTCTCCGCCGTCTGGCTTCTTCTGGTCGCTAGGCGGTCCCTCCCCGCTCCAAGCCCGGGGTCAGCGATCACCCCGTGGAAATCAAGAGTAGGCCTAGTAAGCCACCTCTTGTAGGGGAACAAATTTTATTACTCAGACAGCAAGAAGATTTAGAAAAAACCCTGTACATCGGATCCCGCCTACGGCGCCGGGTGGTAGCAAGAACGATGTCAGGGTACTCAGGGCGCCTTTCGGATTGGACAAAAACGACACGTCTGCCCGGACGACACGCCATGGAGACTGCCTCATGCTCTGCACTTACAACGCCAGGACAGTCTCCACAAACGCCGACCTCCACGCTCTTCTCGACGCTGCAGAGCACATCAACTACCACATCATTGCTCTGCAGGAAACGAAGTCCAGGAAGAAGGACGTGCGACAGATGAGTGATGGGACCCTCATCATTCGTGGTGAAAAGGTTCCATCACGAAACGTGGGAGGCGTCGGCTTTATCGTCCACCCATCTATCGTCCATCTTGTCGATTCGCACGAGATCCTATCACCTCGACTAGGCATCCTACGACTACGACCTCCACATCAGAAGACCATCAGCATCATCAACTGCTATTCTCCAACATCAGCAGCTGACGAATCAGAACTAGATGCTTTCTACGAAGATGTGGAGGAGGTCGTCCGCAACGAGAAGTCCTTTTACAAGTATGTTGTGGGCGACTTCAACGCGAAAATCGGGATGCCACTGGAAAGGGAATATAGGATCGGGAAGTTTGGATATGGGCTCCGGAACGAAAACGGCAACCGTCTTGTTGGGCTTCTCTCCGCCGCACGACTTTTCCATGGAAATTCCATCTTTATGAAGAAGGAACATCGCCGGTGGACATGGGAATCGCCCAACGGAACGACCCACGCGGAGATCGACCACATTCTCACCAACCGAAGGTGGAGCTTACTCGATGTCTCTGTAGTTCCATCCTTCTGTAGTGGCTCCGATCACCGCCTCCTTCGAGCGAAGATACGACTCAGCCGAAGGCTGGAAAAGAAAGTCTGCCATAGTGCCGCGAGAAGGAAGGAAGTCGTTTATGACGGTAACAGGCTGGAAGAGCTCATATCAAGTTGTGACTGGCCCATCGAGGAGGACCCAACGTACGACTACGACCGGCTTCTGAAAGGATTGCGAGCCTGCGGAGAATGCGCCTCAGTGACTTCTGAGAAGAACTTGGACCGCATCTCGAAGACCACCAAGAAATTGCTAGAAAGAAGAAGATCATTGAGGCAGGATCCGAATGCAACTCATCTCGAGCGACTGATTGCCAACACCAGTTGCAGAACAGCTTTGCAAGAGGATCTCAGGAAGTACAGGCAAGCCAAGATACTGGAAGCAGCAGAAAGAAGACGAAGTCTCAAGAAGTGCCGAAGGGACCTCTGCGAATATCACGTACCGCTGGCTGCACTACTGAACGAAGACGGGACTCCGACTTCTTCCCGCTACAAGATGGAATCTATCGCGAAGAACTTCTACACCAACCTCTTCCGCTCATCAACACCCGTGCAGATGCCCGTTGTTCCCACTGGAGAAGTACCACCACGAATTCTACCTGCTGAAGTGCGTATTGCGATACAGACCATGAAGACGTCCACGGCTCCAGGACCAGATCATCTTTCCGTCGAACTTCTGCGAGCCGGAGGACACCGTCTACACGAGATTCTAGCGTCGCATTTGACATCTTACCTTCAGAAGGAGAAGATTCCCGACCAGTGGAGAACGTCAAGAACCGTCCTTCTCTTCAAGAAGGGTGAACGGGAGGATCTTCGGAACTATCGTCCAATATGCTTGCTGAGTGTGCTGTACAAGCTTTTCACGAAGATTATCCTCGCTCGCATATCAAGGACACTGGATGAAGCCCAACCCCAAGAACAAGCTGGATTTCGCAAAGGATTCAGCTGCATGGACCACATCCAGACCGTTTCGAGGGTCATAGAAGTCTGCCGGGAGTACCGACTGCCTCTCGTCCTAACCTTTGTCGACTACGAGAAAGCCTTCGACAGCGTCGAAACCAACGCCATCCTGTCTGCGCTAGTCGATCAAGGAGTGGACCCAGCTTACGTGAGGACGTTAGCCGACTGCTACAAGGACTGTACAACGACGATGCAGCTATTCCATCGCCCCCTGACCATACCAATCGGGAAGGGGGTCCGACAAGGCGACACAATCTCGCCGAAGCTGTTCACCGCGGCCTTGCAGTGGGTGATGAAGTCACTGGACTGGGACGAGAGAGGCATACGAGTTGATGGGAGATTCCTGTCCAACCTTCGTTTTGCGGACGACATCGTTCTCTTCTCGAGCAGTATCACCGAAGCAGAGACGATGCTGAAGGAACTAAACGAAGTAGGGAAGAAGATCGGACTGCGAATAAATCGGAAGAAGACTCAGTTCATGAAGAACGCACTTTGCGAAGATGCAGAAATGGAATTGGAAGGCACCCCGATTATGGAGACGTCTTCCTACGTGTATCTCGGACGTTCGATGAACATGGAGAACGACTTGAGGGAAGAACTCAACAGGAGAAGAAGAGCAGCCTGGGCCGCCTTCGGGCCCCTGAAGGAAGCCACCGACCAACTGACGGACCCGGAGCTTCGTGCCCACCTGTTCGACTCAACCGTTCTCCCGGCGCTCTGTTACGCAGCTGAGACTTGGGCCGACACTGTAGCCACGTCGAAAGCTCTACGGACCACCCACAGAGCGCTCGAGCGCAGTCTTCTGAAGATGACCCGACGCAAGCAACATCTAGTCGGACTTCGCAGCACGGATATGAGAAGAATGTCCCGTCTTCGTGACCCAGCGGAATACGTCGCGAAAGCCAAACACCGATGGGCCGGTCACATAATGAGAAGAACAGACGACAGATGGACACTAAGAACATCGGAGTGGATTCCTCGCGAAGCCAAACGTCCCCGAGGAAGACCTCCAACGAGATGGGCAGACGTGTTCGTGGAACGGATGGACCAGCTGAGAAATCAGCTGGATACGATTTTTGCACCTGGAACTCGTGGACGCAGCCACCGACGTCAGCCAAGAAGATCGTGGATGTCAGAAGCGAGGGACAGGGAAAAATGGAAACTTCTGAGCTGGGGCCCGCACGTCACGTGAAGCCGGGCCATCTAAGTATCTAAGTAAGTAAGGCATAACAAAAAAACATGAGAAACTTGAAGAGCTATTAGCTGGAGTTTTGTTCCGAATTTTCTCTTGGATTTTTCTAATCTACAGCAATTTCGTACGGCGCAATATGCCATACATTTCAAGGAAATCAATAACGTGCGAAATCAACAAAGTGAGATGGACTCGAATTTCCAAAACAAATCACTAAAATTGCGTCGAATACTCCTCACTCGCTTACTAAAGGAAAACCTACCGTATAACTCCATCAGTGTACAACTGCGGTTTCGGAGCAACCGCAGGTCGAGTGACGGGTTGTGAAGACCCTCGAGGAAAACGAGTCGGTGTTCCACCGTCTGGCTGTTGATTACCGTAAGGAGACATCTGCGGTTGTTGTGGCTTCTCTTCTCGTGGAGCATACATATCAGGATTCGGTGGTTGCAGTGGTATCTATAAAGAATAATTTCACTCCCAATATTCTCGATAGCGATGATGGTTAGGATGAGCACGCATTTTCAAACGAAAAATACGTGCAACTGCACAAAAACATATTTGGAACCCTGCCCTTTACGTGCATTTTTTCATGGATTTTATGCGCTAATTTTTATCTGCGTCAGTGAAGATATTTGATGACAAATCCATAGGACACTAAGCGGATTGTCCAAATTTCGTAATTTTCGAAATGTGCAGTTGCACATATTTTATCTACTCGGCTATATTCACAATCCCAGTGACAGCTGTTTACCTGAGGTCTCTCCTGCATTCGTTGTTCACCTCGTATCCTGTCATCCCTTAATCTCGCTTCTTCACGCAATCGTACATTTGCGATCTCATTTGCCAAGCGAGCGTCATGATATAGTGAATCGTCGTTCAATAACTAAAGTAATCCTTGGAATCTACACGCTCAAAAAAGACAACGAAGCGTACCTGCTTCACGTGATAGTAGCCTGGTGAGCTTGGCTGACGACCATTTGGTGGCTCTAAATAATTTATATAGTTCCACTTTTTCTGCTTTTGCTTTCTGCAAAACCGAGAAAGAGAATGAAATAGATGAAAGAAATTGGAAAGCTGTCGATAGCAGAACATATAAACCAATGAAACCATTCCCACATACCTAAGGTTAATACTAAGACATAATTACCCGCTGAACGCATACAAACACCGCAACAACCTGTATACATGACTTGCATCGGTAAATGACGCAAAAATTTCAAGATGACGGAAGAAAACAGAAGTTCTTAAACAAACACAGACCAATCCATATCCCCTCATATTGTGATCTCGACAGCTCTTATCTATGTAATGCATCGTACAGACTTGCTAATCAGAAAGAACACCGTCAACTAACTCAAATTACATGTTCAGATAGTATAAGAAAGCTTCGTTTGAACACAAATGTTAAATTTCCTTTCATTATATAGTCCGATGGTTATCCTACTTCGCCAAAGACCGGCAAGCAGTAAAAAATTGCTAAAGTTGTAACTTTTTCTCTAAAAACAGATTGGAAAAACTACTTTCAGTAGCTCCTAATTCTCGAGAACTCAAAAATGAATTGATTAGCTCAATGAATTCTTTGGCTATGAATGTTCCATTACTAATAAGACTGCTTATCATCCGAATCCTACTTTAAAAATTTTTGCATTATCTACAATCTTTTCAAAAGTCCAGCTCTGATGTTACAAACAGAAAAAATACAGACTTTTCTGACTGTATTGTTCACTGTAAAAAGCACACTGTAAAGTAAGCTACTAGGAAAGCTAACATCCTTTTGTCATGTCCTTACTTTCCTCCGACTTCGGGTACCACAAATAAAACCAGCTAATGAAGATTAGAGTAGACACTCCACGAAGAGTTTTGAGGTGATCTCTTTTTTGTTCGCTAATCAATTAACCATTATAATTTACGTGTTTTTATATGTTCACTATTTCAAACTCAACTTTCACCTTTCCTTTGCATCACACTTGCATGCACATTTAGAAAAATAAACAAAAATTAGCTATATTAACATAGTATCAACAGAAAGTAGTATTGAACTAAACACCGCACACACACCATGCCCGTTCGTCACTTGAGTTGGCGGTTCCTTCTTGGGCGAAACAGGCTGCTCATCATTACTAGATGTACGAGCCGATAGTCCACCATTGTTAGCTGGTAGCGGTAACGAGCCACGCTTTTCCGGGTTAGTGGGAAGAGGAACATCGGGATTGGTGGTCATGCCACGATGCGGTTTAGCCGGTGCATCGACGGCGGGGCGCTCGGCACCGCCGCGTCGAGGCAGGGTTACCCAACCGAGAGTGGGAGCAGGACGGGATGGCTCACTTGGATGTGGTGAGTCGATTGACGACGTGATCGATTGGGTGTTGTCCCAGTCGTAGATTGATCTAAAAATAACAGAAAAATTCAAGCAATTCCTTTCCAGATCCCGAAAAGCTCGGCTTGCCTGGCCATCGGATTCGGAGCTCTTGACATGCTGTCATCCCTGCGTATTGAGTAATCAGCATAGTCTCCTTTCGATGATTCCATATCGGAATCATAATTCACACCCTTTGAGGACAGTGGAAACAACAAGACCTAGAAAAAACAATTCACATTTGGAGGGAGAATGTGATTTCAACGCTTACATCTTCAAGAGGTAGATTTGGTGGGAACTCCGGCATCCACAACCGCCTTTGCTGGAGATGGATAACCAAGTCACGAAGCGCATCAAACCAAGCCTCCTCATTTGTCGCGTCCACGGTGGCTAGAAATAGCAGAAAACTTTCATGTGTGAGAATATTTGAACCCTAATATCAACCAACCCGAAAGAAGATGTGCATGATGCTTTTTGATCTGAGCAGCTTGTTCCGCAAGCTTTCGGGAAGAGATATGAGGTGCATTCAGCTGCAACAGAAAGTTGAGAACAACGTTTAAGCAGGACAGGATTTATCGCTTTGCTTTTTTTCAAAGTCAAAAAGATACCGCTCAAATCCGTGACAAAACTATCTGCATTATTGTAGAAAGAGCATTGAAAAATATCTGCTCCTTTAAAAAAGCGCTATGAAAGTTAGTACAGCAAGATAGCCACTTACACTAAAAAATTCAATGTTTAGCTAGCAGATAGCAACAGAGATGATTCTAGAGCTTCGAAAATTCAAAAATACCACTGAATTTTTGTTGAAAACACGGCTCTAAACCTGGCTTAATCTTCTAAAAACTGCTCTTAACACATTACGATCATGCAGATTTAAAGTTGTTTGCCTTTTGGGACCAAGGCCTTTTTTACGGACAGCCCACTTTTTCATCTATAATTACGCATACTGCCATCTGCACTGCACCTACAGTAGATCTGAAAGGCTGACAAGAAAGTGGAAGTCATTCCTAGATTCTTTGCAAAAGAAGCTCATAGAGTGAGTTTGTTTCAGAATAGTAGTCATTTTATTAAAATACAAGCCTTGACACACATGGTGTGTCAAGCGGTCCCACGCGGTAGTCACCGCTTGACACACCATGTGTGTCAAGCAGTCGTCATTGTGTTAAAGAAGCTGAAAGGGGCAAAGAAACTAATCCACAAGTTTTCCGAACAAATTTCAATAGGGTTTCAATAGTACAATAGGGCTTACCTTCTTTCGGATATCCCGAATTCGTGATCGTCCATCAACATCTATCAAAACCACAATCGGAGCATACTGTGCTAGCTGCAACCTCTCGACCTGTAAAAAGTTTGAGGTTTACGAAAATTATTTGTGAGTAAGTCTTTGTACTGACCGATTCCAGGCTTATGTCCAACACACAGTGCTTTCCAGACGCAATAACACTATCCAGCGCTGCAAGTCTAATCACTCCGCCACCAGCTCCACCACTAGCACCTCCACCGCCACAGTAATCGCTGGGTGACGGCTCAGCAAATCGGGTAGGGAACTGACTGAGCAGGTAAGATCGAGCAACATCGGCAAGGGGTCCAAACAGTACCACAGGTCTGCAATAGATTCTCTAGCAAAATCTCCTCCTTGAAGTCTTCTATGGTACGCTACCTGTGGAAACTGGGTGTATTCAAGGCGACTCGCTCATACGCAGGTGGTGGAGCACTCGATGACAGCTCAGCAGGGTCAGCTAGCACGTTTTTCGGCAACGATTTTGTCCGTCGGGATTCGAGTTTCCGTCTCAACAAAGTTCCTCGTCCTTTTGTCTCACATAATCGTCGCTGTTCGCGAGCTATAGACTCAGCTGTCGACTAAAAAAATTGCCAAGTTCACACTTCCTAAAGCCAAACGAAGGAAAAAAAACAACGCACCTGATTCGGTATCACTCCCTTCGGTGGTTCTCCCTTATTAGCATTTGCCGAATACACTCTGGCAGCTTGCCAAAGCCCTACCGTACCACCGAACAACGTATCGGTCACATGAAATATGTCCCCATCGCTCACCGAAAGCTCTAATGGGCTCGATTTCTTCTCTTTAGTGAAGTGAGACCTAAATTAAATGATGTCAGGAATGCCAACAGCTGATGCGCTCTGAAAGGCTGCAAGTATTTAGTCTGCAAAAGACGTGAATGTACGAACAGGCGCAATAGCTGCCAGTCGTCAGTTTTGCACTCGGACTTATCAATTTGACACACTGAGAACCCTCCGCGCTCTATGGCTATCAATCACTATTAGTCGGCTACAAAGTCTCTTGCACAAAGACGTGGCCCAGCTTCCCAAGGGTACTTTTCCTTTCATAAAACTACACCTCGATACTGTACCTGATATAGAAGTTGTCTCCAAGCTGGCTATTCCTCACATGCTCAAAATCCTGACGAGCATGCTCCAGTCGCAACGAAACATGATCATCGAGAGCAAGAAGCAATTGGACAGCTGACTCACGCGTCACACCTCGCATGGGTCGACCGTTAACCTAAACGACGGTATATAAAAAACAGCATGATAGTTTCACTCGCATTCCGAAACCACCAATTTTTAGCCTATTAAGTTCTTGTTAAAGCATGAAGGGGGGGGAGGTACTTCTATTTATCGAAAAATCAAGCAAAGCATTTTTCCTTTGTTCTTCAATTCCCTGCAACTGAAGGCAATGTTCGTGCAAATTTCACTGCTTAAATTCCTTGTAGATATTGATTAAGCGCCTTCAGCCAAGGTATTTGAAGCGGCACCTCATACCGTCCTCTCATTCATGCCAGGAGAATTCAACTCTAAACTCTCACCCAGTACCGTACTCCAAGGATGAGGATCGGATAGTACGGTACTGAGCACAAGAAAGTTGCATTTTTCTCATAGATAATTGACATGGCTGCCACTTGAGCACTAGTTACAGTTTGATATAAATAGTCCCAGTACCAGATTTGCCAAGACAATGCCTTTGAACAAAGAAAAAATATTGCCAAGATTCCATGTGTAACTAGTTGGAGCAAAAACAATCCAGAGATAGCATACAACAGGGAATACCAGCGGAAGCAAATTGGCAGTATGGCTACCTAGTAACAAACGCGTAGTTCGTAGAATGCCAACAAGACAAAAAAATTTAGAGATAAAGTACTAAGAAAATATTATTCGAACTTGCTGTATCTACCTCATGTTTCAATGGGATCATATGCGCACAATTTCATAAAGTAGGCCTAGATTAATACATTGACGACCGAAGCCTTTCGCAGACCAGCCAACATTTTTCAAATAAAATCACGCACAAATCCATCTACAGTACACCTACAGTAGCGCTGGAATGCTGGCAAAAACAGTAGAGGTTGTATCTAAATCCAGCATGAAAGAAAATTCCCGGAGTTGTTTTGACATATTTTAGTAGCCAATTCAATGAGAGTCATGGTGTGTCAAGCCCTGACACATCATGTGTGTCAAGCGGTCGTCAATGTGTTAAATTTATCCTACGCAAATGAGCAGTTCAAAAGAAAATTCTCATCCGCATAACTATAGCAATATGAAATTTTTGTTATGTTTCTCAATTCGGCTTTATTTCAGTGAGGCACGCATCACGTATTCATACTGTAAAAAACCTCAGATGAGTAGGAGTTGTCGCAAGACACTTTCTGTTTGTGTGGTTCTGATGTGCAAGAGCTTCAAATACTTCCCCTTTTAGAAGTAGGGTACGAAAAAACGGTGTAAGAGATTACCTCCACAATACGATCTCCACAGCAAACTCCATGCAGTGCAGCTGGAGAATCGGCTGCTACTGCTGACACGAAGATACCAACTTCGTTACCTCCAATCACTCGAATGCCAACACTTCCGCCAACCTAAAATCGTCTTCAGTTGGAAATAATTATACTGAGTGAAAAAACGGCTGAGACGTTAAAAAAGGAGAAACAAACCTTTCTAAATGTCACTGTTCGAACACCATTCTGATCTGGTTTTGGTTTCTGTCTACTGTAGTACTCGTACTCGCCGATCGGCATGGGAAATTGTGTGGGTTGCATAACTTGGGCAGCATGCATATTTGCAGAGAAAGGTCCGGATATTGCCGGACTTGATACTCTCCGTTCGTCCACAAGGCTGCCGTCTCGCCATCGAGGAGAATTTATGTACTCATGTGAAGATCTGAAAGCGTATCACCCTGATATAAAGTGATATAGCAGTAGTTTACGAAAAGCGCTTGTGTAAAGATTGGTAGATGAAAGAGCATCCTCGGAGATTTTCAAATAAATGAATGAATGCATTCTTCAATTATTTTTGAAATAGAAATCTAATAAATTGCTCGCTCCAACCTTCTCACTTCATGTGCGGGGGTTAAGCGACTGTAAAGTCATTATGACAAAGGCATTGTTAACTAGACATCCAAAAAAGACACTTATCTAATAGGTTCCCCGTTAAAATAGTTATTGTTGTGACAGATGTGCCTCATGCAGTAAAGTTAAGACATTGCACGAGACAGAACTTACTGTGAGAAAAAGGTTCGGCTGAAAAGCACTCGGAAAATTGCTTGGTGGAAAGACATCAGAAAAAGGCAAAGAGGACAAAAAAGCTTCTGAGATTGACAATAGAAGATATGGTGGGTTAGCTGATTTGTTCAGGCACTTCACGTTTTGTAAAGAATGCAAACGAAATTCTATAAGATTCAGTTCGCCCGAGAGAAAAGTCCAAGGCAAATCGACCTTGACGTACGAGAAAATATTCTTTCGAGAAGGCTCAAGGCCTAAGGCATAACTTGCGCGATTCCGGCCGCTGCGCGATTTGGCACAACAGCGATCTTCGTAATTCGCTAATGCGCTGTCTTCAGTCAGAACTTGCTCCATTTGCAACAGCTTACACAAGCTACCCATATATGCATCCGAGAAGCGCGCACGATAAATTTGTAGAAATCTGGCAAATCGCCAAGTCGCGTGAAAGAACGATTCGGCCAAATCGCGTGAGGGTATGCCTTAAGGGCCGGGCATACTTCAAGCGATTTCAATCGCGACGCGATTTGGCAATATTCCAGGTGTCATAACTCATTGTAAGCACATTATAAATGTACAGAAGATAGGGCATTTCATCAGTTTACGTAAGTTATACACACTATGCATGTGCAGTTTGCTAATGTTGGATCCGAACACTGCTGGCGAATTGCCAAATCGCGTCGCGACTGAAATCGCGTGAAGTATGCCCGGCCCTTTAGGCGCCTAAGGCCTAAGGCATACCTCGCGCGATTTCGTCAAATCGCTACATCCACGCGACTTGGCAATTTGCCAGATAATTAAGATCAATCGTGTGCGGGTCTTAAGTGTATAGGCGCGTAGCTAGCGTAAGTTATAGCAAAAGCTTAAAGTCTGGCCCATGCAAAGCGCCCTAACGACTAGTTACGAAGATTCGCTGCAGTGCCAGATCGCGCAGCGACTGGAATCGCGTGAAGTATGCCTTAGGCCTAAAGGATTTTGAAAGTTCCTTTTTTTCACCAAGCATACATCAGGGAAAATCAAGTGAATGTTTCTGATAAGCGACTACCGCGTGAAACTTTGATGGGCTCGATTCTTGACTACAAAGAGTTTCAATAAATATCATACTCTACTAGCTAAGTAACTGAAGCTTGCATGCAAATAATTATCAGTCCGCTCCTGCGCATGGAAAACAACTATAAAGTTGAGCCAGTGATATTTTAAGAGCCGAAACGTGTCAGAACCCAAAAACTTTACATTCGACAAACGGCGCTAAACATGGTACGTTGTAGTAAAAACCCAAAGCTGCTCTATATACCTTCATACGTGCCGAATTATTATGTATTTATTAGCCAAGCTGCACAAAATGGTAAGCGAAATTGCATTTTATTCAATCAGTACTTGCCCTTTATTCATGCACATATCACAGGAGCAAAACCCTATTCTATAATTATCAATTTTAAAAAACACATGTTGCCTCAACTCTCTCTTTCAAATATCGCAAGCACTCATTTGAATGCTTGTAATGTAAAACCGAGAGAGGTACAAATGCCATGAATCTGTTGCCATTCTTAATAAACCAATTTCTTATAGTTGTCCTTAGCATACGCCCTACAGCAATAATTTATTGATAGCTATAAATCAAGAGTATAGCGAGATTGTAACTTCCCAGAAAAAAAAAACCCTCTGGCTGTATTTTTCGTTTGGGATAAAAACACAACGAACCTCTGCGAAAGTGGTTGGTGTGCTTGCATTGGGCTGGGACTATGTCGTGGGGTAGCAGACACGGATCCTACTCGTTCATAAACGGTATTCTGACTTGGCCACCTGCTCGTGCCTCGACGAACATCACGTTGAATGACAAGGCAAAGTTTGTCTCGAGATCTGAACAATTCAATTTTCACCTTGCTGTAAAGTAATGGCAGAAAACAGAGTTTTGCTTTATAGATACAATATTTTTTTTCGCACAGAAGCTGCTTACTCTCAGATGTTCTCACGTTTTGATGAATTTTTCTATAAAAACCATTTGATCAAAAGTGCGATTATTATTTACCTTTCCAGCCACTTATTTACTTCTTCCAAGGTCGAACCATCAACACTTTGGCCGTTTATTCGTAGAACTGAGTCACCCTCACGCAATCCAGGATCCTGAAGAGAAAATCATTTGTTAGTTTAATCGTAAAAGTTTATAGATCTTGATTTGTTAAGCCGACCAACCTTTTCTGCTAGTTTTGGATTCCTAATCTCTTTGATATAAAATTTGCAGCCTAAGACGATGCCAAAATCTGCAAGAAAGTGTTGGTTAATGGAGTGATGAAAGCGTAAAAATTTAACGATGCCAGAACATCGCGAGGTAATGTGCTGCCATTGACTAAGGAAAAAAATGCAGACGACAGGAATGTTAATTATCCCTGATTATCGTCATAAAAATGAACGAGCAAGATAAAAAGAGAGTAGGAGTTGGCCCAACTGAACCAACGTTCAGTTCCATTATCCAGTGTTTTTGTAAGAATAAAGTTGAGAAATCGTTACTAAAAGACCCTAACAACTCGATAGTCAATTTCTTAACTTTTAACAACAAGTAAAGTTTTAGAGTGAACCAACCATCTTTTTTTCTTGATTTAGATAGCGTAAATTTTAGTGTCCGCTGTTCAAATTCCATAATAGGCATTGCAACGCGTCGCTTTACAATCTGGAAACAAAAACTAACATATTCATCTACGCAAAAAAAAGAGAATGGGTATGTAAACAGAGAATTTTTACTGATGTAGCAGAAGACATAGGGGATGAGATCACAAAATCTAATAATAATGTGCCACTCAGCACACCCAGTGACACCTTCTAAGTAATTTAAGAGAGAAGACAGCTACAAGACGACTGACATGTGCTGCGAAAAAACATGCCGTATAAGGGTGAAAAAGGAGAAATTAGCATAGACATAGAACTTAAAAATATACGAATGACAATCAAACTAACCATATTGATGTGCTCAGCGTTTTTGATAATATCGACAGCGCTTGAATAGTCGATGCTTTCGAATGAGACGCCGTTCGCAGAGAGAATACGGTCGTTCACTCTGAAACAATTCGACACCCACCATCTTTTCTTCAACATCATGACCACAACTGTTCCGTATTTTTATTTGGAGAGAATGGCTGTTGTTCGTTTTACACAACAGTGGGTTGGCGCTGGCATTCTTTTTCGCCCCGCGCTCGGCACTTTTATTTATGAAAGTGTCAAATTCGAGTGCAGCTTTTGACTCTCGCTTACTGTAAATGTTATAATGATAATAGTTCCCTTGCTCCTCGCTATCGTTCCACGTATCATGGATAAAGTTTAGTCCTCGAAGGTAGTGCTCAGCTAAATCTGCCTGGACTATCCATTTAGATCTTTGTGGAAGCCTTACTTTTAGAACTGCCCAAGCTCTACTTTATTCGTATCGGAGAAACCCATCCTAACCTCTCGTCTAGACCTTTCCTACCGTACTCGAAAATGACCTTTTCGGAGAAGCTACGGCAAGAATGTAGCCGAATTTTTTGGTTACGAATAAATCATGTGACTTACGCCAGTCAGTGACTCAGGATTCCTCAGTTCAGATAAAAAGATCAAGTACTCAAAATTTGCCCGAGCAATCCCTTAATCGGCAAAATATAGAACTACCAATTTCATAGACAGAACGATAGCAGATCTTACATAGCATTGACCAATGACTGTATTCAGTCAAAACGAAAAAACTTTGTCGATCACAAAACAGTTTTTGATGCAAAGGGTCTATAAGATTCGTGAAAAATACCATCAATTTTGCCATCTTGTACTGCTTGTCCGAAAATCACGATTTTTCATAGAATTGTTCAATCAGCACCAGCTTCGCTCATTTAGAAAAGGCAGGCCATTAGATATGAGAGCGAATGCTTCAGTTTTTATTTTGATTTAGATTCCATACGAACGAATAACAGAGTGGAACAATTTGTTTGTACTGCTTCTATCTGGATGTGTACGAATAAGAAGCCAGTAAAATGCTAAGCGATGATCTCCTCTTTCATATTAGAAACATGCAAAACGGTTGAAAAGAAAGAGATTTCTCGAAAATGCTGAGACTCGTTTAAGCCTAATAATATGAGAATTCATATGGAAGGAATAGAAATATACAGGGTGGGGCAAAAGTCTGGGAGCCTACTTTTCAGTGCTGTAAATCAAGAAACTACTGATGATTTTGATTCTAAATTTGTGCCACATATTGCTGCGATCATCCTCTACAAATCACACTTTGGATGGCTGAAAATGCTTGCCATATGTTCTTATAGGAGTTGGATTTATCAAACAAGTGCTCTGCAAAGCGAAAAAATCGAAATTTTTGGTCTTCACATCTTATTCCGTAGCTAAAGATACGGTGGATTTTCTAAAGCACTTTGATGTACACAATGTAGAGGAGACTTTGCACTATCAATTCGTAGTCGTTGCGTTTCTCAGATACTATTTTTTCGAAAACGCAAAATCAAATTTTGCGAATACCACCTGCGTGCCAGTGGCCATTTTTCTTTGAAATAAATATGAAAGCTATAAGAGCACATCAGGCACTGAATTCTGGGCTCTATTCTTCCCATGATCTTCTATGCAAGTATGTACTTGAGTTCGATCGATCAAGCATTTTCAAAACTTTTTAAATTATAATTTTTCGCTCCCGTTCGCGCAATCGCATCCAGATTTCCAGTATACGAGTACACTTGCCTTCAATTAAAATTCCAAAATTTTTTCCCTAAACACTGCAAAAAAAATTTCTTCGCAGTACATTGTAGCCAAAAGCTTGCACTATCACACCGCACATTTGCCTGCTAAAAGAAACAGTTATCGTCAAGACGCGGAACTAATTTCATCACGACTGTCTGCGTGCCATGACAGGCGGACTCGCGAAGATTTCGAAGGGATGCTTTGAAGCCACAAGAGGCAATCTCAATATTCTAGAGCAGCGCTTATTTGTGAAGGTTTAATTTACGTGTGCACGGAATTTTTTGTTCCTAGGCACCCTCCTTCTGATTTTATCTGAAAAAGTACAAGGCTCCCAGACTTTTGCCCCACCCTGTAAATGATATCGTCACCTATGCGACATCATGCAGAAAAATGCTGTAGTATAAACATGAAACATTTCACAGTACCACTGACAACCAAAGCACCAAGAAAGTAACTCACTGAAGCAGTCCCCAGGCAGGTCCGTTTGGCACTACGTCGGATATCACCACAGCCGGATCACCAGAGGTGAAATGTGGATTGTCGCGACCACCGGAGACGGCAATGCCGAAGCCTAGTGCGACTGCCTGCAAAAAAAATTGAGACTTAGCAAAAAATGGTTTCTAAAGTGAGCAAATGAAGGGGAATGATAAGTCGGATGTGCAAAAGCGATGGCACATATGCATTGCTATCATAATAAAAGATGCCGGCAATGTAGCACTATTGCCTGGCAGTCATTATCGTCATTTACCTAGGCAACGGCTGCAAGGCGATAGGTTATATGCCAGGATAGTTGAAATATGACTGACTGATACGTTATCGCTCCAGGGCACGCGCGATTCATAGCAGCGCAAGCGACGAGGGCCTCCGAGGCCAATTTCAATGACATATTACTGGATTGGACAAGAAGAATTGGAACGTCCCGTCGTGGTGTTGAATGTGGCTCGCATAGATGACGCGCATCGTATTGTGGATGAGTCTTATGTGAATTATTCAGTTGCAGAGAGTGAAGCATCATGAACTGCGATCGGGATTCAGTGTGACAGACCAGTATGCAAATGTGGACCAGACCATAACGCCGACTTTGTTCAAAAAAATTTTCATAAGAAAATAGATATGAGCAAGTAAAGGATCGTAAGAGCTCAAGGCCATTTCAGCACAGTTTTGGGCAGAAAAAATAGAGAAAATCTAAACTTTCCAGGCAACTACTGCAATAAATTTTTCAACTGTTGGCAAAAAGACAGGAAAAGGTTTTATTCTATCAGAAACCATATAAGTGTGATGGGAAGAGGAGAGTTTGCAAAACTGGAAATTTTCAAATTATCGGAATCCTATAGCTATGTTGAAAAGAGCATAAAGACAAAATGTTCAGAAAATTTGAATTTATCAGAGAAACCATATAGCTGTATTTTTCCTCAGAACAAGCTAGAAAAATCTTAAATCTTACAAAATCTTCACACGCAGCGAGTATGTACTGCAACAGCTTTGTCAACCGTTGGCAATAGAGTAACATTTTTTGATTTATTGAAAACCATAAAAGTACGCAGAGTGTACAAGTTGCGAAATTGATTGGAAATTTTCTCAGTTTATCAAAAACCATCTAGGTGCATATTTCTTGAAAGTGGACAAGTATAAAATTTTCAAGCCCATCAATTACTGCAAATCTTTCTCAGTTGATGAAAGGGTAGAGAACCGTTTTCCAGAAAACTTATAGTTATGCTGAAAAGAGATGAAAAATTGAGCTGGACACAGCAAGATGACTGGAAACCCCATTTTTTATTTACGTCAAATTAACTTACCTGTATGCAGTCTGAAACCTAGTCGACTGGTCAACGACGAAGGATGTCTTGTAAGAAAGAAGGATCTCTTGAGATATATGTTTGAGTGGTAGCAAGCATTGAAAAAGACAGATGCACGCCATTGGTACAAGATTTCTTGAGAGATGTGTCAGATCTTTGATTAATCTATCCTCATCACTTACATGCTTCTGCAAGGATCTCACGTAACAGATATGCGCAAAAACATATAACAACCACTGTGCAACATTGTTTCGTTACAAAATTCTAATCTGATTGTTTCACCACAGAAGATTGATACGCGCCACCACGGTCTCATCAAAGGCAGCGTCCAGGCAAAGGACCTATGGGGCTCTCATGTGGAAAGTAATCTTGAGGCCTAAATAAGACTCTGCCCATGCGGCAGCTCGAATAGTGCACTCAGGGCTAAGATATTGGGCTCCAAACTATGCCCCGATACCGCATGGATTCGTGGCGCTTTCGCGCGAGGATCCACGCGAAACCGATGTGCCGAGCCATGAATCCATGCGAATACGGTCGCGTAGCATAGTTTGGAGCCCAATATCTTAGCCGTGAGTGCACTATCTGAACTGCCGCTTGGACAGAGTTTTATTTAGGGCGTCAAGATTACTTTCCACGTGAGAGCCCCATAGGTCCAGATTTGCCTGAACGCTGCCTTTAAATTGTGTCCCAACAAGAAAGAAATCTGAGGTCTTTGTCGATTCAATTTTGTTCAAAAAAATCATTTTATTATGGTCTAGACCCTATTCAACAAAATTCAAAGAAAGAAGATATTTCAAAGAATTGACATTTGTTCTTGGATTGGAATAGGCACAAGGAGATGATCATGCACTGACTTCCGCTGTCACCAAGATGTCAATAACAACTCAAGCATTTGATAAGACTGAGGAGTGATCAGTCACCTGTGCTACCGACATCAGTCCATTGCACTTGAGATAAACACAAATCTCACGAGATAAGAGCAATAAAGATGAAAGACTCAAAGTAAAAAATGAAATCAGAACTGTTCAATTCACAGGCGATCAAAGACACCAGAATTTGTTAACCGGCCCGATCAAAAATATGATGAATGACCGATAATTTGCTTACTCTTGGAATCCGTGTAGGAATCATCCGAGAAAGTGCTTTCAGTCTCTGCAAACCTTCCTAAAGCCTCCTCTCCTATCAGGTCATCTCAATACAAAAGCTCTTTTCTATAGACGACTACCTAAGTCGGAATCTGACTGTTGTTTGTAATCGAAAGAAGAGCAGACGCTATTAACTGCGTCAATAAGAAAAGCTTCCCGATTACTGCGTGCTTTATAGCAATACTTCAGCTTCAAGATAGATGCCATTTGGAAGGTCGCGTGGATTACAGCGGTATATAACTACCTTAAGCCGTCGCCATACGTTGGATGTTTTGAGCATTATAGACTGAAAATATAGTTCCAATCATTTTCCTTCACAAGAAGGATATCAAATTTACCAACTCAAAAAGAAGTACCTTCTTTTCTCACTGTTACTTTGACTTTCACCAACTCCCCGTTGCTTATGCAGGGCTACCAAAATCCTAAGACTTTATGGTAAGACCAAAACAGTTTTCCCATAATGCTATAGCAATGCAAAATGACGGAATATTGCTGGCAAGATGTTTTTGAAGTCGAAACTTCATGGAAAGCACGCTTCACACGGAAATTCTGAGCAGTGCAAATGTTGTATTTATTACAACAGGCCTTAATTGCTCTTAGTTGCGAACATTCTAACTAAAGCAGTTTTTCTACTGAAAACATGCGCAGCAGCAGATTTTGAAGAATAAAAGAATGAAATCCACAGCTGCAAGCTGTGTACACCGCGAAACATTTTGTTTTCTTCAAGAGCATGTACGTTGTAAGGACAATATGGAGCAAGATTATTAGAACTGAACATCGTAAAAATAACTTCATCTTTGAACAAAAATCATCAACTTGTATAAACTCTAAGCATTTGTATACCCTCTTTTTCAGAATATTTTGCTGATAGGATGTCGTAAAAGGAATTTTGTAACCACGCTAGGATGTAACAATCGCGTCAAAAGCTACAATTGGCTAATCACAGATTTTTGTGGAGAGTCATCATTCTTGCAGACTGGTCCATTCTGTTAATCTATTTTGACTTCGTGGGATTAATAAAGCGAACTGATACTTTAATGAATTTACCATTATCATAAAACAAACCAAAACTTTCCTACCAAAACTTGCTCATCAGTAAGGTTATGCGAAACAATGATTTCAATCGAATCTGATGGAAAGCGCACCCAAAAGCCATGAGTCTATCAGATTGCGTTAGTATAATGATGGCCTATTTATACTTTTAACCGATATGCTAGGTATGATTAAGATAGGCATGTGGTGTAATAAAAAAATGTGAGTTTACGTGAAAGATGATACATTGGCTTGGTTGATTCAAAAATGATGATCGCCTGATCATTGATACGGTAGGTGTCCCCAAAATCATCGTATGCAGAAATTCCAGATGGATGGATTATGCTGTATTCCAAGCGCAGAATTGTCTACAACATAATCTAAATCCGCTAGAAAATTAGAATGTCGTCGGATAGATCGAAAACTTATCAGAGCCTCGTGTAAAACCGTTTCCAAACAAATCTCATATCAGTATTGCTTTGCGAACATGTATCCCATAACTAAATCGTACAGTTGTTTTGATAAATTGAATATGCTTAAATTTCTTATTTGCAAGGTCATGTGCTCGGCATTTTGGATGATAGGTGAATGCAGCATTTTTCGCTCAAAAAAAAGAAGCAACCACATGCTGAACGACCACGTTTGAACTTTGGCTGTACGAACATAATTGAGATGCTTCTACGAAAAACCAAACGTCTGCTCTTCATGAGTATTGCAGAAACACTGAAATTATTGCCATGCATGAAAAATCTACAGCAATTTCCATATCGCATGATGTATAAACATTGAGCAAACGATGTGAAAATTTTGCACGATTCAGTTACACGGTTGCAAGCCGCGAAACTCGATACTTTGTTTTTTCCCAGAAAATGTTGAATCCAGGGGTGTTCAAGTCATCGTTCACTCAAATCGGAGATTGATGAGATTTTATGCAGTACAAGAGAGAGACCTCTAACTCAATAAACTGCTTAAGTCCCGCTGCAAAAGGCGTTTTACGACACGAAAAAATTGGTCAAGAATATGTATGCTGCAGGGGGAAACGCCCATCACTCTGGTTGGTCTAAATATGGGCACAAAATGGACTCCAATCACTAAGAGATGTCGCGAATATGCTCTTCACATGACAGACGGATTCTCAACACTTTTAGCTGCTATTCTATTTTGACTCATTATTTTTGGGCCGTTCGTTGATGGGCGTGGCGACCCCCGTAGCATTCATATCATATCCATATATTCTAAACCCATATTCTAAAGCGATTTTCTCCCAGTGGAATAGACTTTTGCATATAAGCAATAGCTTAGGGGCTTCGCTTTTGTACTGCATCATAATCCCACCAATATCGGATTCGAGTGAACTGTGGCCTCTAACAAGACATTTCAGGATTAAACCTTAGCTACTTATCTAAACTATGCTGCTTTTTTTTCACAGAAAAGTCGAGAATTGTTACATAAACGATGAAAATAATTCAAAAATCAGCATGAAGTATTATAATTATAGTAAAAGAAATAGAGAAAAATTTCCAACATAGGAATCGGGTGAAAAAAGCGTATAGCAGAGCAGAGGGCTAAACGGCGATTTCAGATAAATTACGGGACGAAAGGTCACAAACGAGGCTAGTGGTGAGCTGTCAGGCGGTCACAGGGAAACAGCCGAACCGTTTGCGGGGGCATCACACCGTGGCAACGATAGCGGAGTGGACAACTGCTCCTCTGCTCCCGATTTTATGTCAGCGGTCATCAATCAATAAGTATCACTACTATTCGCAACCTCACATCTATAAAACATCCACTAAAAAATTTTAATAGTCACTGTAAAAAGCTGCACTTGGTCAAGGGGCGCCTTCAGTGATGTCAGGGAACCAACATGACAGCTGTGAATCAGAAGACAACAATGTGCACGGTGGAATGACAGCACATATCTTATATCCCATGACATCAAAATCTGCGAGGTGAATGATGACTGGGTAAAAAAAGAGGCCGAAGCAGCGATAGCTCGATCGAAGCATGAATTAGCTCATCACGAAAGTTCTGTCATTTAATTTCTAGAAATTAGTCTTGCATGCCATTAAAATTGTCAGAAAAGGTAAACCATGCACTTTCTAAGACACCTAGTTCACTTTCCAAAAACTTTGAATGCAGGGACAAAAATAGAAAAATAAAACCATTGGATGTTTGGTGGTTTCAAGCAAACCCTTCAAAAATCTAAATACTGTCCAATAAAATCCAAGAAGTCAGTGTCAAAAATTTCCTGACCTCCATTCTGTGCCTTAGCGAAGTTTGCTTCCATGAAAGATCAAGATTTCCGATAAAAGAGCAGGGTGGTTTCTCAGAACAGCACAAAGTTTGTATAATTAGAAGGGCAAGTCAAAAACTTGTGACACCTACTGTTTCGGATTTTATGGCATGGTTTTCAGAATTCTAAAAGGCTTGCTCAAAATCACCGAACCTCACATGATCTTTTTCCGTTCTATCTCTGCAGTCAGGGCTTTATTTGTAGGGAGTAAACAAGATGTCATTAAAAAGCAAATGATTTACCTTTTCAATGAAACGCTATGCAAGACCATGACACGAAGAAATTGCGATTCTGAAAAGGTGCGAGAGAATTTTCGGACTCACCTAGTATACTGCCGACCTCAGATTCTTATGCAATCTTTGAATTTTAGCGACATATTTTCAAACGAAACAAGCTTATGTAGTCTTCTTTCTCGTTTTTATTCATGCAGTCAGATTTGGTAGAGGCTCATCAGAAATAAATATCACAAAACAGAAAACTTCTTGTTTCCAATAAAATTGCGAAGAAGCAAATCGTCAAAATACCGAATAGTTAGGAAGTTTCGGAAAGTAAAATGATGGAACTTTCGAGACAATCTAATAGTTTGACTGGCTGATATTAGTACTTCTCGGCGTTCATTCCTGCTGTAGCACTTGCACTTTCACTTCGAGTCGGCATTTGAAAATATACTTGAAGACGTTTCTCATAGCATTCGACTCGCAGAACATACAGCCGATTCGTGAGCGCGTTTGCCATTTCGTCCCATAAACGGAACGACTCGAAAACGAGCAATTTAATTTGTTCTCGTATGAGCTGACGGATGTGCAAGTGCTTTCACACAAGACCTTGAGAAAAGGATGTGTTTTTTGTAGGTGGCTAGGCGAAAGTGAGGTGATAAGCTGTCAAAGAAAAACTTCATGCAGGGGAATTTTCGTCGCTGCTTCGCTGCTTGGAACATTCACGTTTCAGTGCTCTGTACTGCTCATCTAAAAAGCAAAAAAGGTCTCAAAGCTATCAAAAGCAGCTGTATCGCAGCAGCAGACTGAACTAAGACAAGAAAAAATGTTACAAATCTGCTCTATGGTGTTGCTAATTAGGCGACTGGCCTGCTTCTTCTTTGAGGTTTGAAGATTCGGCATGAAGGAAGATTTATAGACAAACAAGGAGCAGATTTAGGTCTACAAAAAGTGCAAAAAGTGTCGTAGGCATGTCACTAATAAAGAACCGATTTCTCCAAACTAATTTTTTTACGAAAATATAGAAAGTAGTTTTCAGACTAGTGAAACTACAACAATGAGGAAGCCCGTCGAAAAATCCATTTGTCGCAGAAGTTAGGAGGCAGTGCTGAATAATTCAGCATTTTTTTTCTGCCAAAAAAGAGCAGAAGTAGCGAAAACCGGAAAGCTACTCACTGATGTCATAAAATCCCAGCGGAATTGAAGAAAAAGTTCTGATTTTCAAAGATAACGAAACATCGTAAAGAAGTATAAAATTGTCGAATTTTTATTCCCTAGAAGCACAGATTTCGCTGGAACATAATAACTATCGAATAACAAATGCTGAAGTGTTTGCATCTCGAAGCACTCGGCTGGCTAAGATCGGAACCGCCGAGCACGAAACGAAACAATCTATCAAAATCTCAATTCGACTCTTCCGCATCGGAACGCGTCTCTCGGGCTCGACTTTCTCCCCGCACTCGCACATTATTTATAGTGTATCTGGCAAGAGGGCACAGATACTATCATGCTCTTTACTTATCGAAGCAGACTTAATCGTACAATAATCAGGGATAAGAAATGAAATTAAAGCGCTATGTTGGGCACTTTGTTCGTCACATAAAAATAGCTATTCTCTAGAAGAATATGATTGTGCGTGCACTAAGTGCAATGCAAAAACTGAAAAGGGAAAAATGTTGGCAGCATTACGTGTTCCTTCAAGGAACCCAACAAACGCAAAAAAATCACAACAAAATTCTGTTAAGAATCAAACAGTTTCGGAACTTCCCCAAGAGTAAACATCTAAACGCTGCTAAAATACATGAAACTGATCTGATCGGGACAGAGAACAGACAAAACATGCGTTGGAATTCATTCAGTTGGTCGAGGGAGCTATGAATCTATTGGCTCTCAAGTCATTTTGAGGCTTCCTCTTAAGGCCTCGGACAGAGTTCACGCGATTGGATCGTCGCGATTCAATCGCTACAGACAACTGCTACGAGTTCACTGCATGCCGATTGTGATAGTTAGTCACGATTAGTCGGGTTGGAAAACTATCACAACCGAAATGCAAGAGAATCGGTATGCAATAAACTCGTAACACTTGTCTGTAGCGATTGAATCGCGACGATCAAATCGCATGAACTCTGTCCGAGGCCTAAGGGAACACCAAAAGGATTTACCAAGTGCATACCTCAGTAGAAAAGATTGGAAAGGTTCATAGATGGAAAGGTCCAAATTTCTGTTTCAAATCTACTGGAGAATAAAGAAATAGCGATGTAAGACGATCGCAACAAGCAATTTTGAAAAAAATTGTCTGGAACTCAAGAACTCATAGCACAAATTATAGCGTGACATACAAATTACTTTCTAAGCTATTTTTGAGAAATGGATTTAGAATGTGTTGCATGCCAGAAACTTTAAAGTTGCTCTAAGGTCGAAGAGGAATCCTACACTGCTGGAATGCGCGCGCTCTGATGATAAGCACCCTAGAAGTGATATATGGCTTCCCTGCACACTACGAATCCGCTACTGGCTGTTCGAAGATGAAAGTACACCAAAACACATGCCATTTTCAGATCCAAAGAAGGGGGGGGGGGGGAGAGAGAGAGAGATGTTCTACAGAGCTACATCTAACCATTCAACGTTGGAAATAAGTAGCATCAAATCTTGCAGCTTTGCAGTCATTGATCAGATATTTCCCAACATTTGCAAAAGTTCGTTAAAAAGCTATAAGCGCTGGTTTCATTACTGCGCTCCGAAACGCCAATTGACAAGACATTTCAATCACTATCAAATTCCAAACGGAAATGCAAAGGCTACATCCACTGCACCAGGGATGCTTATGCAAGCATAGAAAAGTTTATACATAGTAAAGAGCTAAACTAAAAGAATAGAACAACGAACGTTGGCGAATGAGAATCTCAAGTGGTGGAGCGAAGATGGGGGAAGGACAAAAACAAGCAATTTGTGCAAGACAATTACTTTGTTTCTGTGATGGAGGGAAACAGGGTCGAAAACGGGACATTGAAGAACATCGCAATGGAAACAAAAATCTACTAGTTCGGAGAGGCCTCGTCCTCGAAGATAAGGAAGACCAGAGGTTGGGTAGCAGCTGTTATAGCGAGTGATAAACCATCGAAAGTAAAGGGTAATGAGATCTCTGGACACTGAAGAGTTAATGAGGTTGTTAGCACCCTTTAAATGCTATGTTATCACTGCCAATGCCTCAGAATGACTGCGGCTGCTCCTTTGAAGAATTAAGGGCTCATTAACCCTGAGTGACATGATGAGAAGTTTAACCAAACATTCTAATGTCTGTTTGCTCACCCGCCACGTCAATAACATGAAGTAGATTACTTGCCATAAGCAAATACTCAGCAAAAATAGTATACACTCACTATCACAAACAAATAAGTCAAATGGAGAAATAAAGCGTAAAGAAGAGCAAAAGAGCACAAACAACTGACCCGATGTAACGAGACCGAGAGCAGCTGCCAACTGGTGCAACCCACCGACATCTGAAATCAAACATTATCTCCTTGCGGTTTCTCACGTTTCAAAAACTGACTGCAAAGTGAAAAAAAAACGGGAAAAAATAATATGTCATCTCTAGCCAGTATAGACAGCTGTCCTTCACTTCCGCGAGTATAAAAAGATCAAAAAATATCATCTCTAAACAGATTATGGAAAGACATCGCTGAACAAGTTCGAAGGTTTTTCAACTACTATACCATTGTGATTGGGTTGGTGCAAAAATAATTTCCGCTTTTCTGAGCCTATTTTGGGAACAACTTTTTTTACCCTTTCCAACCAAACCTGACTATAACAAGAAAAAATTGGACAAAGTTATAGCTTTTTGAAGTGAAACTTTACAGAAGGGTTATTTTTGCACCAACCTAATACAATTAAGTTAGAAGTGAATTTATGTTCATTTTCAAAAAATGGATGAATATTCTATCTACAGAATTGATAGTTGCCTACCCAAACAAGTGTGAAGAAAAGATAACTATTTGCAGTATACCATGATAGTCATCAGGTTCCGCATTTCAAGCAGTTCTCAGATAGTTAATGAGAAAAAAACTGAAAAGACAGCTGTGGCACTTGTTGTAAGCTTTTCCAAAAATTGCGGTCAATTTGACTTTGGATTCCATTTCTCTCAGTTCTCAAAAGTGGCAAGCTCATTGAGGATCACTGCCAAAATAATGATAAAAAATTTTTTTGAGCCCAAAAATTGCATAACTACCAATCTAGGCGGAAACAAAGTGTTGAAAAACATGCAAACATAGTAAGACATTATTTTTATGCTTACGTTAAGTATACATGCCTCTTTCTATCGCTTATATCAACTTTCTATATGATTGAGCCTAGAAGTCCCCACTTTCACAATATCCGCACTACAATGATCTCCAATGTACACAGTAGTGGAAATAGTACAGTCACAACCGTCGCGTCAAAAACCTATAAGACGTTTCCAGCTCACATCAGATGCCTGACATTCTGTCACTTTTACCCTCAGAAAAAGGCTCATCATTGACTTGCGCAAAGTGTTTTCACACTGAGACTTGTCACATTAGTATGAATGGCTGCACTAACCCTAGACAGCGAGGAGAAGAATATTGATAGTGAAATGGGGAATGAAGAGAGGTTTTACTTCTTGAAATTCATGAAAAAATTCAGGTTATGCAGTGGTAAAAACACTATGAAATGAGAAAGGAGAAGTGAAATTTTATTCATTTTTTGCCCTTTCAAGCGCTCGGGGTATCAAGAAAACAAGGTTTGCAAATGATATGTCAAATATGAGACATCTTTCCCTTTTACGAAAAGACAGAAAGGAGCGCGTAAACCCCTCAGAACAAGCAGATACTTGAACAGAAGTAGCCTAACTGCCTAAAATCCATGCATTTCAAGCTGCCAGATGCTTCTTCATCTCGAAACAAAAACCAACCCGAAGGTTTTCAGAAGCGCTCCGTCGCAATTGACTTTTCTATTCAACCACATTGATTTTGAATTTGCACAATAAACTTTCCGAAAGTAAGAAAATTCGAGTTAGCGGAGTGATCATATACCAAAAAAGTTCAACTCTTACAAAATGAGAGGCAAAATCTAAAAAAGAAAGTCAAAAGCACGACTTGATCCTGACAGAAACCATGAGGTCGTTGTAAAACGGTTGTTCAGAATGTTTTCAAGAGAAAAAGCTTTTACATTTCGACAAGTATGACAGCTGTCGCTGTTGCAAAAAGAAATCGCATTTGAGAGCACGCATTGACTTTTCAGAAATTGAACATTCTTCACCTCAGCTAGGCGATGCAAGTAATTTGTGATCAAGTATACAAAGGCTCACAGTTGTCTCATTTGAGCTGCATATCTCACAAAAACCCATGCAAGCAAAAAATATAAGACGATGGCAAGGAACTAATACGTCAATCTAAAGGCTTTATAAAAGTTTTTTTCAGCGGTAAAAGATTGCTCCCTGAAAAAAGGGTTCCTTAATGCTTCACCTTCATCGAAGGCTAATGGCAAAAGTCAAGCTTGGATTTTCCTATTCTATTTCCTCCCACCAGTTAACTATCACAAGTTTACATTTACTCCTAATTCCATTCAACAAAAACCTCCTTCACCTTAGAGAAAGAGACCAAAAATGGAAAGGGCATGTTTATGTGTAGAAAAATGGCTACCAAATTTGTCTCAACGACGAGTAATCTTGAAAAAGCATATAAAACGACACTAAAGCAAATGTTTTGACGGGTCCATCGAACAAAGCAGTCATTCCTGTGCGTGGATGCGTGAATGAGCAAAATGTCCCATGCATAATGAGATGACCTCATCTGCAAACGTTTTGGAAAAAAACATTGAAATGCTGCATCATCAGAGTGACTCTCTTCTCAGACAAAACGATTGCAAATCAAAAAGAGTTCGGAGTATTTCAAAAATTTATATGAGTATGGATCGTCGAAGTTAATTCAATATGACCAATATAGTTCAATAGTTCTTAGACCTAGGTAGTGAAAATGCTTCCTATCCGAAAACTTAGAAGAGACTGGGATGAGAAAAGATGAAAATTAGCTCAGAAAGGAGTGCTGATAGGGTACAACAGCTCTGTGTTTTGCATTTTTTAAGTCTGAAAATCCCATATGCGCCTATACTCAGCAGACGGATAGGAAGGGCTAAATTTTCACCAAGAACAGCATTTAATTCAAAATCTATGTGTTTGCGGAAAACGACATCACTCTAACCTATAAGTGTTTCCGAACTTGATACTATCACCACTATCTACGACATTGCCGACTGAAATTGGTAACAAAAAAAACTTGATCTATTGAGTCTACAATTGTTGCTACAAAGCCAGCCCCCCCCCCCCCCAAAAAAAAAATTAATGACGAAGTATAAGGTTGTAATATAAGTGTTGAGACACTCTCACTTTTCACGGCGATAAGTCACAATAACATTTTCAAGAGAGGTTCAGGACACCACTTAATAGAACAAGGCAAGCTCTACAAGATGGTGTGCAACGTTCGCACCAACTTCGACCCACTGTAAGTTTGCATCCAAAATCTGAATGTTTCTGAAGTCTCAAAAAGCGCGAAAAAATCATATCTTTGTTCAAAAACATCCCACGAATCTCCAACTTGCTCATAAAAACTCGCTACATCAGACACCCATACGTACCGTTTCTGAAATTTTTCCTCATTCAGAGCTCGAGAAAACAAAAATCTTCACGTTTATACAAAAACGAAACTATGCTGTTTTTACTCACGTAATTCTGTACTACAAATCCTTAGGAGTATAGCCGTAAATTTTTAGTATTCCAAGGACCCTAGTTTGTGAAATTACCGAATTTAGCTCTCCTCACTCGGGTGTTTCATGATGGAATCAACATTTCTCGAGAACTAGGGCGTATGGAAAGCTGAAAATTTACGGTTATACTCCTAAGTGCCTGTAGTATACAATTACATGAGTGAAAACAGCTTGGCCCCGTTTTAAACATGAAGACTTTCTCGATTTCTAAGTGAGAAATAAAATCCAAAAATGGTATATATGGGTGCTGATGTAGTGTGTAATTTTTGTGAGCAAGTTGGAGATTCGTAGGATGTTTCTGAACAATAATATGAATTTTCCGCGATTTTTGAGACTTCAGTAACATTCAGATTTTGGATGCAAACTTACAGTGGGTCAAAGTTGGTGCGAACTTTTGCACATCATCTTGTAGAGCTTGCGCTGTTTTAATGACTGGTGTCCTGGACCCCTAATGAGAATGTCTTTTTGGCTTATCGCCGTGAGAAGCGGGAGTGTCTCAAGACTTATGTTACAACCCAATACTAGAAAGCTTCCCCCATGATTCTTTCATTGAAAAAAAAAACGTTTTCCAAAGACAATGAGTGCAAAAGCTGGCCGTGACTGAGTGATGATATGCACTTTGAGAATGTGTAAAGCAGTCTAGCGATAGAATCGAACCTAAAGTTTTTTGGAGAAAATCTGGAAAAGTTGAGCAAAAAGTTTTTTGGAGAAAATCTGGAAAAGTTGAGCAAAAAACCGTAAGATAAGATAAACCGAAAAGGATATTTATGTCCCTGCTAGATGAAACATCGCGTAACAAATCACAATGGGTTTTTATCTCCAGCTGCAAGATAGGTTCGAGCATTTGCGTAGTAGCACTGATGACCACTCGATGAATTTTTGTTGTAAACTAAACAAAAAATACGACAGCTTTTCTCTATCGCAATCGTTTGATAGCTATTTGATCGAGCTCCAGAATGAGCAACACAGAGTAAACGTGAGCAAATGAAGAAAGGCAGGACTGACTCTAAGTAAACATTGACAGTAATTGAGGCAACACAGCGAAGCTAATGAGACAATGTGTGTCCATCGAACTGCTTACAAGATTAGTCATGGTCTGAAGAGCAGCTTTTGTAAATTTCGAAATCATTTTTGCGCAGTTTTCTCTCCAAAATATGCAAACACTCAGAATAGCATAAGGTTCTCGAATACCCACGAAGACAGTAAAACTGCAAAGAAACCCGAAAGGCCCTGCTCGAAACAGGTTTCGTTGAGCAAAAATCTGCTTAGACCCGTCCGACAAATTTTTTTGCTGTCACAGTGGTAGTTAGCCAAGTGCTCCCCATAGGCCATGTGTCTTGCACTTCAAAAATGTGGAGAACATGGGAATTCAAACAATGAGAGAAGCAATAGCTTCATCCATCATTTCTTCCATACAAACGCTGGGATTGCAGCAAACTACAGCAGGGTTTTTTTTTGCATTAAAAAAATACTAAAAGTTTCCAAACTTTTGCCGTTCTTGCACAACCTCTCTTGAATCCCGAAAGTTCACGACTTTTTTCATACTCTTTGTAATCACACGATGAACAACCACCATTCTCAAGTTGATAAAATAGAGACAGAAAAAATTAAAGGACCATTCTACAAACTCGTTCTCAACAAGTGCATCATAAGAAGTTTGTAGAATAACGTTCACTCAAAAATGAATAAAACTAATAGGGATTATTTTAAAATCTCAAAAACTACAATGTAGGAAGTAGGTGAGTTTGATGCCAACAACAAAGTCGGCAACTATGTTGAGTGCAGACTAGGTTCATCCTGAACAGTCTTTTGCCAAAAAATCTTAGCTTTTTCCGTCAAAACTGCAATTTGAGAATCTCGACGTATATTCAAACTCTCAACAAGTCTGAGTCACTCCCTAGAGCTTCACAAGATTTTTTTTGTAGATTTCACTGAAACAGAAGCCGCCCAAGTGGACTTTGCAAATAGATCGCCTTTCTCAAAACAATATTTAGCATTAGCATCTCAGTTCATTTCGGTAATCATCATTGCAGCTAAGGGCGACTTTCAAACTCTGAGATACAATAAATCAACCGTAAAAATCAATGACACATTTGTGACTGTTCCTGTGGATCTAAAGATGACTTTTCCTGCGATATATTCGAAGCGGATCTAAAGAGGCATGGGTGGGTTAGGCACTAGGCTGCTGCATAACTGTCCACTTTTTTTTGCTTTATGTTTGAAGCAGCCGTTCCAAGTAATTTTTATTCGTAATGCGATATGTGTACTATAAAAAGCGCTTTTCTTGCTGTTTCTAACACAAACCATATTTCGATAAAATCCTCAGTCTGACGAGATCGCAGACCTATGATCCCCAAATGGTCCAGACACTTTCTCAGCAAAATGTTCATGCGAGAAAATCTCCACAATATGCTCTATAGGACAAATCCTTGTATTTGTCAGGGAATAAGGGTAAACGGTTCGGCATATGCACAAACTCACTTTCGTGTGAAAAAAAACGTCTTGCTAGCAAAATTTGTTGTTGAAGAAGAATTGTCTACAAAAGTTCTACAAAATAACTTTTCGTGAATAGAGGCAGTCGATGAGTCCAATGTTGGAAGCAGAGTAAAGCAAAAGCTAGCAAAGCCCAGCCACCGTTACTTTTCACTAGAATTTTCATAATTTGAAAGTTGGCATATATATGTAGATGTACTAAAATGAGATTGAAAAATGGCTTCGTTTTTATTCGGTCAAAAAAATATCTAAACACTGAAGATCCTATAGGCACTCTTAGGCTGTAAGATAATCTTTGAAATTTTCTCTATCTACTTATGGCTACTCAATGTGCCTGACAGTACTCATAAGAGAATATTACCATGTCAAAAAAGATGGGTTTGAATTGGAAACGGTGAAGTTTTTGAGTTACTTCTTCTTCTTTAACAGGGTTTTTCGCAAGAATTAATTTCTCTTATAGCTAAAGCACTGCTCAACATACAGAAACTAAGATTATGAAAAAGTTGATTTCGAAAGAAGGTATGATATTTCGAATTCGAATACCCAAGTCAAAGAGAACTTATGCAGCAGGCTGATAAATAGATAATGCCAGTTTTGAGTCAAGAATGGAATTCATGGGCTTTGCAAATTAGCTGCGATGTGATGATTCAATTTGTTTGACTAGGAAAGTTTACTCAGCATAGGTTAAACCATCACACCTCTAGTGCTTACATTACAGCAGATGTCAAAAATCGAGCTCGTTTTTCATGTTTGAATGATCACATGCGCATTCGATTTGCTGAATTCATAACTATGATAGTTGTTACTTGCATAAGAGAAGGTGCAAAATATTTTAAAGGACACCCAGGTAAATTTAAGCAGTCGAGATAGATAAACATAAAACCATGGTGATCTGATTCAAAAAAATTTGAGAGACAAGGCAGAATATGCTTTAGGTACATTTCTAAGCAGCACTCTAATTACGCTAGCAATCCTACTGCAAATCGTAAGGCTGAATTTGCTTGCCGTCAATTATTCGTCAAGCAAGCTCGTGTTTACTAACCTCTATAAATTTACACAGCAATAGCGACTATTGAAAGGCGAGAAAATATCGGAAAAACGGCAAAAGTGGGCTTTGTGTAACTCGCTCGTGCGTGCAAGACAGTTGCTGTGAGAAGCGAATCTGCTAATGATAAGGAGGATCATCGAGAGATGATCCTTATAAAGTAATCCATAAACGTGCATATCTAGATAGATGGTTGTCTCACGCAATAGAAGTTATGAACAGTCAAATACGTTACAAAAAATGGTCGGAAATGAACTCTCCGAAATGATAGTCAGTACTCAAGTTCGAATTTAGAAAAAAAACTAAGTATAACAGTTGAAATGAGTTATAAAAAGTTAAAAATTCCATAACAAAATCTAACAAAAGCGAAAAGAAGACGTACTTCATCTAGCTCGTCGGACACAGGCGCCACCAATACTTCATCCGGAGCCGATGGCGGCAAAGAGCCATACATCTGGAAAGCTGTCATTTAGGCCACGCCCAGTGAGAAATCAAAGCTCTTTATTTGTGAAGATGATATCTGTACGATGAAAACAAAATGTGGAAAACGAAAAGAAAAAGCAAGATGAATAGGTGATTCATTAAAGCAAAAAGAACAAAATATCACCCAAGTGTGAGAAACGGAGAAGAGCAGAAGATGGAATGAGAATGAAGTGAAAAGCACAGAGGAGCACAGAGATTGCAACCTCACGTTTTTTTGTCCCATTGAAATACAGACTCTTCACTTCTATTCGGACTTGACAAATACGTCGAATTCAACAACGAGGGAAGGGTTTCGAGAAAAAGTCTGAATGGGCATTGTTATTTACAATTTTCTTTGACCGTTATACACAAGCGAAACTTAAGCAACCGGTCAGCACTGAACTGCGAAGAAGAGCTAGGTAAACACCTTCGATGATAACTGAACGGATAAAAAAATTGCAACTGTACAACGATTTCCGGCTAGTAGAGGATAAACTGAGAAGTATCTTAATGCGTAATGCGAGATTATGCCATTTTCGTGATGTAGTGATCAAAAACCATCAAAGAGTTGTGGAAGTTAGTTTCAGCTATTAGAACCTCAACAACCAACAGAAAAACTGACAAGATAATTAATGAAAAATAAAGTATAACAGATAGATGAACGCAAATTTGAGGAGGGAACAGAAAGGACATAGAAAGGGATGAGAGGGATAGAGATCAGCGTTTGCCTATTTTTTAGACTTTTACATCACCTATCCATTATATCATTTTTTGAATGATTTTGATCACTGAAAATTCCTCAAAAGAGTTCCCAGTTAGAAATTTTTTGTTACCTTCTTAAACCTAAAAATCCAAACTAACTCTCATATATTAGAGTTTTCAAGTTGAAAACTAAGTGAAGCTATAAATGCGTGTAAATGGATAGCTATGGTTGAACGATATACGATCGAGCGATTATTGGCTCGCAGCCAATATGTGATGTGCCGGGATAATTGCACAAAGGTAGCAAAGGTGATTAGATGGGGCTGAATGGAAATGCAAAAACAGAATGGCACCGTTTCGCACTCCTAATGAAGAATATTCCTCTATACGGATTTATGAAGACAGCCTAATGAAAAGCGAAAAATAATGGAAATAGAGCGTCATGTGGTGATGATGCGCTGAGATAATGATCGCCCGGTTGGATTCAAGCGTGGTCATCGACCAGCGGCCGGATTATAGCCGCATGACGGGGGCACATAGAATAAACTACAATTACGCATGGAGCCTCATTCTATAGAGCGGCACCCCCTTCCTATATTAAGGAGGGCACAGAAATATTCTTCTCATGCTTAGTGTATCAATCTTTTCACTGCAAAAAAAAAGAAGAATCGATACAAGTACAGGAAGACGGGTAAGTGAAGGTCGCTCAAAAAAATGGCAAAGAAAAGTCTCAACGTTTTGGTACTTCCGAGCACATATACAGAAACGGGATAAGGAGTATAACGTGAAGAGATACGAAGCGGAAGCAAGCAAAAGCGACTACGAGCTAGATTCGCATGTCATTTTCTTCTATAAAAAAAGCACATTCAAGCCGAAGCTAGCTTCTTAATTGGGATCAATTCAGACACCTAGCGCACATATGAATTATAGCGACCACGCATCAAAGCCAAGATGAGGCTGTGAACTAGAAGCGTGATGCTGCAGTGAGATGGAATGAAGAAAAAATATACCTTCAGGTTAGCACATAGGCTTTACATCTGACCTCAACAAAATGGATTGATCCAGTCATACTGAAAATAAAAATGCTTCTTTTTCCTATATATACTGAAAGCAAAATTCTTTGCTGTCATATAACAAATATATCTAAGAAAGACACATAAAAAGTGGCTATCAATCTCGACCTTAAATTGTCAAAACCTATATCAAAATCTAAACTTGGTGGGTGTTCTGGCAATTTAGTTTGATTTTGCGCTTTATTTCGTAAACTGATATTTTTATTTATAAAGGCTCTTGTTGAATGGAAGTTCTACAAAATGAGATTTCCAATTATAAATTCAGTGTTTTGATTTTTATGCAAACAAACAGCTCTGATAAGTATAACAAAATTGAACATTCAGTATCGTTATGAAGAGCATATAACATAGTTTGAAAATTCATCAAACATCCTAAAACAAACTTCAAATGAACTTCTATATTATTGGGTTGGCTAAAAGTTCGTTTTAGCATGCATTTACATAAAAACTTCCTTGTTTTTTCTATTTATGATTTTTTGTGAGAAAATAGCTCGAAGTTTACTCTAACACATATCAAATACTTAGGATTTTCTATCATCAGTAAAGACAGTCATGTCTCAACATGGCTAAATTTCCAGAAGCTCAATCCTCTGACAGCCTAAGCTTCGTTTTTATGCTATAATGGATGTAGAGAACAGCAATTCAGTGTTTGGGTACAAAGAAGTTTTCCCTATTTAATAAATAACATTGAAAATTGCGATCTGAGACTATAATTATTTTTTTTTCGAAAAGACCAAAATTACTCATATTTGCGCACTACGAGAAAATTGGAGTTTTTAAAGACTGTGCGGATTTTTTTCTTTGAAAGATAGGTTCTACTCGAATGAAATTTCCCATTGAAGTGCTCTTTCTAGGGATAGCAGACTGGACAAAAACTTGTCTGCAGCATTTGTAAAAGCCGCAAAAGCGACCGATTTTATTTATTAGCCAACTAATATTTGGAGCAACATTTATGTATCAAAGCTATGCATCAGCACAGCATTACCAAGCATAAGCCTGCAAATATGAAAACGTACAGGGGGAATAGTGACCCATTCTTTCGTTTTAAAAACATTGGATCGATGAAAAATAAAACTTCCATAGTAATATACTCAGACCTCGAGTTTAGATTTTGATTCGAAGCAGCGCAAATTGAGATTGAAAAAAACACTACTATAGAGCAAGTGTCTCATGCCCGGACGTAAGACACAGCAGACGTACGACGCCGAAACAGATAAAGCACGTAGGTTCTGACATAAATTATCCTCATCTCATTCTGCTGCTCCAACAAATAGCCACACTCATTCCCGCAAATCATAAATACATTTTTATAGAGTAAGTGAGATGAGTGCGACACAATTATCTCGTCTCAGCAAAGTTTTTAGGAGGATCACACCTTGAAGCTCCGCATACGCAAAGCTGTGCATGGAACGGATTGATGCGGAGCAGAGCGATTATCAAAGATAGCAAAAAGTTACAACTTCAACTGTAAGAAAGTCAATTCGCAACTAAGTTTTGACGGCAAAGTTAAGGTAATTGGTTGCAATGGAACAAATAGAAATCCTAATCAACTTAAGGCATGAATTTTCGCGGATAAACTCTATAAGTGGTGAGAAGGGTTGTCTATTCTAACCCTTCTTCAAAAAGCTTAATGGTCATAATAAGAATAATTTTATAAGCCATTCGCTCTTTCTCAACTCCCCCTCCCCCTTTTCAATTTTCCTTCGCTCTCCCCTTCCTCCCTCTCTAAGGAAAAACACGTTCCTTGCCTTCACTCACCTACAACCGCGCTGCTTCAGTTCAGTAACTTCCTAGATAACTAATGGACTCCAATAAGCATCCAAAAAAACTTGTGGCGGAAATGACATGATGCGTTATGGGACCTACTAAGTCCCTCACAAAGGCTCATTGGGAAATCGTCCTAATGAGGCTGCTGGCGTGAATTACTATAGTGTTTGATACGTTGGAAAGTAAATCTACCGAGACACTTTCTGGAAATTCCTTGACTTCTTTCCTTTTCCTTCTCATTACGACATCAATGAACAAATGCTAGAAATTCTTCGTTCTGCCATATGCACTTTCGACACACGACTCGAAGAGAAATTCATGACCGTTGCAACATTTGCTGAAAGGGCTGAAGCTCAAGCAAAGCCTTCGGGATCTTCTTCTCAAAGACAAACTCGACGCTTGAGATATGTCATATCGGTTTCCGTTTAGCCTTCTCTTCCCCTCTGCGGGCATTCCACCAGTTAACGCAATCCCGGGGGAGCTTACGCGCGGTTCGTCCAGCACTCCTCAAGACATTGCCGAATTACAGCGGGGTTGAAAAGGCTTTCTTCGGATAATTGGGATGTACAGCTGAGTCACTACGAGTGCGGAAGGATTAAGGTCGCAACGAAAGCAGGCGAGTCGCAAGATTAGGTTGGAAATGTATTAGAACTTCAAAAGAAACTTGAAATTGTTGCTTCGAGTATATCTGGGAACGCAAGGGTTAATAAGAAAAGCAAAAATCTACGAAAACAAGGCAATCCCTCTAATAAGAATTAGTATGCGTTGAAAAAAAAAACGTGCATACATCAAGGAATGTTACTGTAAAAAGAATTTTTCTCCTCATTAGGCATCTGCAAAACTGAACAATAATGATTCTTTTGGATGACAGTATCCAGAAACTTGAAGATTCCTTGAGTACACATGATGTGTAGCTCTCAGTGGCAGTGTGGTGAAAAGTAATGATAAAGTCCTAATGTTATACAAATAGATGTAAAAGTTGACAAATTCTCATATCAACAAGGATCTCGTCAAAACTGCGAACAACTGATTTGTAATAGATATACATCGATTTGCAGATGTTTGTTGCAATCCTTGGAGTTCTAACCCAAGGACATTAACCCAAGCACATAATTTTGATGTGTGACTGGTAGGGGAAGCATGTGCAAGAGCAGTCACAGCAAATTCTATGCTTCGCATGAAGAACGATGTCACTTTTCATAGAGTCTTCTTCAATGCTGCAATTTACAAGCAGTTAGAGCCGTAAGACTGCACACTAACGGTTTGGGAATCTTCTGGAAGACAATGTGGGGATAAAAAAAGTTGTAAATTTGGAATGCATAAAATTGAGCCGTTCGTACAATTCACGAAGGACATAATATTCGCAAGAATATGATGGCTGACTATTTGTGGTGAGGTTCGCTCCAGTTCAACTTAGCAAACACCGCGGTGCCGGGCGTGAGGTGATGAGTGTGGTGTCAAAACGATCATCTCAACTACGAGACGGAAAACTTGATCGCTTCCAAATTTAAAATCCAGTCAAGGTCGGAAAATTTAAAAAAAAACGGTTTTTATATAACAACAGCACTTTGCTTAAAAACTGCAGAAACCAACAAAAGAACATGGAACTTCACCAAAGCAAGAACATTTGGTAATGCCGACACTGCAGTGATTGTCCACTGCGATAGAAGTTGTCAAATTGGGGAGAGCAAGCGCAAGGACGGAGAAGGAAAAAGTACAAACAATCATAAAAGTGCAAACAAAGCAGAATTCGCAATGATATTAGTCCGATGCAAGTATGAA